TATAGATACGAACATTTACCCAATAAATGAGAGTGCGACTCTAGTGTAGACCACAATTCACCATCAACGCATAAAAGAAAGTGCGACACGGACCACTGTAAATATTGACATTGACCTCATAAATGAAGTGTAGACCACAACTTACCATCAACTCGCTGGTAATTATACGTGTATCTATTTATATATACAATGTGCATATGTTACTAAACCGATTGCCGTTTGGCAATAGTGAATTCTATAGTAATCGCATTTCTATATGATGATAGTTGAGACCAAAACAAATCACTCAGACCATGACTTTTAAGGTGTTTGAGATCGACGATGTGAAAGCATGGAAATCTGTTTTAGTATCTGTAGTTCTACACATTAAGCATTGTCATGATTGCAAAAGTTCTATGGTATSTACTACCCTTGGCTTGGGCATGAACTGAGGTTAGTCTTATTCAATTTCCTTTTCTATTTGCTTTTCTCTTAGTCTTATTCAATTTTATTTTTGTTTGCTTCTCTCTCTCCATCCCATTCTTGTTGGAGTTTGCAACTTAGCCCCTGAGGTTACTTTCCTCCTCTTTTTCCATCAAGTTCTTTATTATAGGTCACAATTGTGCTCATAAATCATAGGAACAAGTTAGTTTTGTGGAAGACATTATATGTATTGTCTTTGTAGATACCAACATTTATCCCAAAATGAAAATACAACTCTAGTACAGACCAATATTGAAATTTACCTCGAAATGGAAGTGCGACATCCAATGCAGACCAATCGACATTGACCCAAAAAATGAGAGTGCAACTACTATAGATACTGACATTGACCCATAAATGGRAGTGCAGACTACTATGTATGAATCCGTTAAATATATTTGTCCATCCCACCTAGAAATTTTAAATTTTAGATTTTAGATTTTAACATAGAAATTTATAAATTTTAAAAGTTAGTCAAATTTTGAATAAATTCTTATTTATCTACTCTCAAAATATACTTTCAATTTTTAAATTGGATTTTAGTTGTTTAAATTTGGTTATTTAAAATTGATTCCTACGTTGTTTTTGCATTGTACCAAATAAAATTCCTAAAATTAAGTTGTTTAAATTTGGTTATTTAAAATTGATTCCTACGTTATTTTTGCATTGTACCAAATAACATTCATAAAATTAAGTACATATAGTTATATGGGTATATTTGTCTAAAATAATATTTAGGATTATAAAAAAAACGTTATTTAGCCATTTACACAATATTTAATATGTTTGGCTATTTTTTTAAACGCCTTATTTATTTGGGCCATTTATGCAATTACCCCTAAAATATATATTAATTTATTAAAAAAAATTCAATGACATGGTGGAAAATGGATTCTCTATTCTTAGTGTGGGGACTCGACCCTARGATAATTTTTGTCATCTCTGATGTAGAGACATGAACATAAAAGTTTATTGAGGTATAAAAAAAACTTTTCAAATGAAAATTTCAAAGAGACCAAAATTTAGAGAGTTAGAGAAAAGTTAGAAAAAAAATTAGTGAGAGAAAAGTTGAAGTCAAAAATAGAAAATTCTAGAGAGAGTAAAGTTGAGAGCAAAAGCATGTTAAAGAAAGAAAAAAATTAGAAAGAAAAAGAAAAATTATAACGAGAACAAAATTTAGACAAAGAAAAAGTTCAATATATATTTGTTACATAAAATAAATAATTAAAAAGAGAAACAAAAGTCAAAAGTGAAAGAAAATTGAACAAGAAAACGTTTAGATAGAGAAAAGTTGAAGATATATCTCTTAAAAAAAATATACAAGAAAGAGAGAAAATTTATAAAATGATGATGTGAAACACGTTGGGAAAAATATTAATTCTTAGAGAGAGAAAAAAAAGAAAGTGATATGTTAAAACAGAAAGAAAGAAATATAAATATATACAAATGGGAGAGAGAAAGATAAATTTTTTAGAGAGAGAAATTTACATAGAAAAATATTTTATAGTGAGGAAAAATTTATTAAAGAGAAATATGTCAAAGAAAAAAATKGAACATTAGAGAAAAAAAAAGAGATTTTGAAAACAAAAACTCGTTTTTAAAAACAACCATTCTAAAAAAATAAAAAAGAGAAAATTGAATTAGTTATCAAACAAACCTATTTTTCAAAAACCAAAAATTAAAAACAAAAAATAGAAAACATAATAGTTATCGGACCTAATAATTATAAAATAACTCCAAAAACATGCTCTTCATAATAAATATTTGGCCATTTAAAATTTTGTCAACAGAAATGAAAAAATCTTCTTCTTTGATCAAATAATGTTATAATTTTTCCTCCCTATTGGTTTCTTACCAACTTTTTGGCGAATTCCACATTAATTACAACAATACCACGAAAATACTAAGAGCATCTATTTATCAACTCAATGCCTAGTTGCCCTATATGTGAATCTCCAAAATTAGGTTTACAAGGCCAAACAACCTAATTTGGCTACCAAGACAAAGACAAAGTTGAACTCTACTAAGTTTGAGAATGAGGTGGTCCTAGTTAACTAACATTGTAGAATTTTTTTTTTTTTAAGAACAATTTTGATCAGAAATGAATTGTCTAGATCGCAAATCCTGAAATCCCAACGAGAGTTCGCGAGAGAAATCAAGGGTGCGATGAATGTTATTATATTATAGAGTTAATAGAGTGTCTATGTTCATGCACACATTAAACTATTATGTATTAGATCACTAAGATAGTGTCGACCACAAATTATGTTGATTCTACGAATAGAATACTGTTTGAGGGTTACTTTGGGAGTCTTGAATTATGAGAAACATGAGTACTCTCACACATTTTCTAAGGCGAATGAGGGAGTATATTGGAATAGAGTATCTGCTAAATGCATAATTCTGAAAGATATATAGTTTAGAGTCTATTTATATTTATCCCTTTGATTCAATATCTTATCTAAATTTGTTATAATTTTTTTTAGGGCTATTTGGATGTGTAATCTTGAATAAACAAGATGATATTAACGAAGTAATCTAAAAGTTTATAATATGTGGCTAAAGGTCACTGTCTTATTCTTGTAACATTTGTAGATACAGTTTGCTTTGTAATAGTTAATAATATGATTAAATTTGGATTGCTAGCTTATGTGTGTGTYTACATATATATTTACTAGTAAGAAACACGTGCATCTCATAGTTTTTATTTCAATGTTTAAAAATATAAAATTTAATTAAATAGTTAAAATTTATAATATAATTTAGTTTTTTTTTATCTCTAAATGTTTACCTCACCAAGTTTTTTCGTATTTTCAATGTTTATCTCATAAAACAACGTCTCAATAATTCTCATCACAAACTGATGCGGTTAGTGTGACTAAAAGTATTATTCTTCAATTACTTAAATTTTTTTTCTAAAAAAAACACATATTCATGTATTTTTCATCCTTTTTTCCCTGAACATAAGAATACATAAAAGTAAATACAACTTTGTTTCAATTTCTTATTTGAGTCATTGAAAAATAAAATGACAAAAAAAAAAAAATAGTGAGAGATAGAGATGCGTTGAGGGCAGCCGTTCTTTGCCATGTTCGAGTTCTGGTCCAATTCTTTGTCATAGCTCGTGGGGAATGCCAACCGTAGCCATGTTCCGATGGATTGTTCCGGCTATTTTCGTCACACGATGATCACCTTTCCAAGGAGGAGGTCATTGAGAGAGTTCTCGCGGTTATCAAGTACCATCCCAAAGTGGATCCGTCCAATATGATTCGATCTTATCACTCATTTTCACTTTCCTTTTTCCAGTTGATTGAGTCGTTTGGAAAAAAAATAACTAAAAAAGTTGAATATTCAATCAAACAATCTAACTAAATATAAAAAAAATACAAGACATTGATTAAAGAAGAAAATTTAGATACCGAAAGAGAAAAGAAACTCAAGTTTTGATGAAGAAAAAATTGGGAGAAAGAGTAAGAAAAAACTCTTTATATAGTTGTAGAAAATAAAAAGTTACGAAATTTTTGAAATTCTTTATTAATTATAATTCAAAATAAGTTATAACTTTTTAAAAATAAAGAGACAAAACCGTCCATATTCTAACACTTTATATTCTAAATTTTAAGAGAGAGAGTTTATTAGAAAAAGAAAATTAATTTGAGAAATGTAAGATTTGTAATTATGGAGATTAAATATTTTAAAAGAAATGAAAAAAAAAGAAAGTGGCGTGGAAGGGTGAGGAAGAGGGAGTGAGAGAGAAAAATTTATATTTGAAGTACAAAATTGTCCTCAAAATATCTATGGAAATGTTGAAATTAAAATGGTAAAATAGCGATAAAAAGTTTCTCCATATAGCCCATTTTATATATACTATAGATATATATGTGCAATAATTATATTGCATAAAAACTATACCACAACATATATTATTATCTCTTTATATATATATTCACTAAAATCAGTAGAAATATACTAATAGCATAATCATATAATTAACGAGCATAGTTCAATTAATTAAGACACCTATCTTCTACCAAAAGATTGGTGAGTTTGAATCTCCACCCTTATATGTTACACTAAATAAACTTCAATCTAATAGCTTAATTGATTAAAACATAAATATGTTTAGTCAAAAGGTTGATGGTTTAAATCTCGTGATCATCTCGATCTCCTGCGGGTAAAAAAAGACCAAAATTTTGTACTTAAAAAACAGTAGACATTTCCCTCAAAATCTTTGCACTATTATTAAAAGGGCAAGTGGAACCTCAAAAAGGGAATAGGATATAATTTAAGAAGGAAAAGTTTAGTTTAGAACCAAGTGTGGACTTGGCATATCTTGCAGCCAAAGCAACATTTTGTTCATTAAAACTTCTCTCTCTCTCATAATTATTAAATATCATTGCATTGCTGATGGCACATTATTTAAAGGGTTATCAAGAATTTTTGCACGGTTTAAAGCCATTCAAAATGCAACATTAACAGTACAAGAAAAGAACCTGAATCCCTTATATGATGTCTTGAGTTTCATGCAAGAAACCAAAAAGAGACTGAGGATTTTCTTAACATTACATTTCTCTTATATTAATCCCACTCTCAATATCTCTTCTCCAAACCAAAGCCTGCAGCCTAAGTTGGCTTTCTTTCCCTTAGCAGAGGAGAGAACTATCCATCTTTTGAGCACATATGGCAGGTCCTCCACAGCCGCCACCGTCGGGCCGCTCGAGGGTATTGCGGTGTGTCGCCCTGGTGCTTCTGGCATTGATCGTACTCGTAGGCCTTGCTGTACTCATCATTTGGCTAACGGTTAGGCCGAAGCGTCTAAGCTACACAGTTGAAAGCGCCTCGGTTCAGAACTTCGACCTGAGCAACACTCAACTCAATGCCTCCTTTAACTTTAGGGTTAGAGCATACAATCCCAACTCTAGAGTCTCGGTTTACTACGATAAAATCTTGGTCACGGTCGGGTTTGGCGATCAAGACTTGGCCTACGGCACCATCAATCCTTTCTACCAACCTCACAAAGGCGTCACGCGCTTGGACATCAACCCCGCCGCTCAAAACGTTCCATTGTACAACTCCGTATCCAAGGATCTAGGGCTCGAGAAGGCGGCCGGAGAGATGGATTTGGATCTGTGGATCAAGGCCAAAATCAGGTTCAAGGTCGGGATATGGAAGTCCGGCCACCAGACGCTCCGAATTCATTGTTCGCCGGTCATTATTTACCTCTCTAAAAGTAAGCCTTTCAACGAGACTACTTGCTTTGCAGAAGTCTAAAGGGTGGACAAATAAATTTGTGTTTCTGGAATTGTATCAATATGCCTGGTGGTGTTGTTGGTTAGTTTAATTTTTTCTTTTCAAGTGTATGAGTTTGTGAGCTGCTTGGATTGGTTTAATTTGTATTCATGTATATGGTTTTTTTTGCATTAAGAATAATTGTCATCAAATCTATTCTTTAACAAATTTTCAATTTGGTTTGATATATTTGAAAATTTGATGAAGCCCTTTGGAGATTTTGTTTAATTGTAAATCTCATTCATCGTTGTATTGTTTTTTGCTTAAATGAAGTTGTTGATTGATTCTTTAAGTTTCTTTTTGAAGGAAAAAGATGACTAAATCGATCTTCTAAACAATTTTTTTTCAGGATAGTAAAAGTTTTGGTACTCAAACTGACTACCAGTAAAAATCGGACAAATTTTTTAGATTTTTTGAAAAAACAAAGAAAAAAGAAGAAATATATTTTTCCATATTTCTCTTCCCTATTTGTCAAAAGTTTAACGGTAGTTAGTCAAAGATTAGTGTTGACCGATAAATACCGAAGTATTTTTCCAATTTGACAATCGAAAATCATTTCTATAAATATATAGTGATAAACGACCGGTATGTATTTATTTTGGGTGCAATTTGTTGGATTAGTACAAGTTCTTTTCAATTATAGAAACTGAGTATGTTACCGTTACTGAAGCAGATGATATGCTTTCAGGGAAATTGGGAAACAGGACTTTCTATTCTAACAATTAGAGAGCACTTTTAATTTAGAAAATAATCTAAAGTGTAAAACTATCAATCACACTAGAGTGGTCTTCTCCAATAATTTATGGACTTAAACGTGATTCATGAGCGTATTTCTGACAGAAGCTAAAAATTGTTTGAGTGTTTGTAACCTCTTGTATTATTCTCTCATGATGAATAAAACATGCAAGGAAAATTTTAGGGATTAGTACATTGGGCTATTTAAAGATCATAATTACAGGAAATGTATAGAATTTACACATTTGTCATGAAACAACCTTATTTAAGAGGGTACCATCACATAAATTACTTAAATATCCTCTTGTATCTACAAATTAATTTTAAATTATTTTTAAAATGCAAAATTGATTAATTGAAAGGTTATAATTTAGATCTCAAGCTTAATGATACTTTCCAAAAGTAATTAAAACCCCAAAACATCAAAAAWAATCCCCAAATTCCCCAAATTGAAAACCTCTGGAAAAATCCCCAAACCTATAATTTGAAAACTTCGCAAACCATGAGACGTTTAGAACTTCAATTTTGGAGGACCCTTTTTACAGAACTATTTGAGACCAGCCAAAGATTAGTATCATATCTTATGTATATCTTATGTATATATAACTATAAGATATATACACATATATGATATATACACATAAATACAATATATCCCCATATAAACCAATCTTAACAGGAAGACTATTAACTTACGATTGGTATAAACAGAAAGGGATAGGAGACAAGGAACGCACTACTCGGCATCGGAAACGTGCAAAGACGTTGACAAAAACTTTACTCGGCGACGGAAATTGAAGGTCTGAAACGACAGCGAAGAAAGAATCAATACCTCGCTGACGGAAGCCGTGAAGATCTAAAACGACGACGGCGGGGAACAAACACAGCGGTTGGATACGGCAGCCGATGACTAGAAACAAAGCACGGAAAAAGTCTATTGATGGTTTAAGCAAAAATAGAACATTAGGAAAAAATCAAAACTTGTTTTAACAAAATTGGAAGTTGTTAATTGCTGAGATGAAAAAATCACGCGGACATCTATGTATTATTGGCAAAAATCTTTTTTTAAAGAGTGATTTGAGGAATTAGTGTTGAAAAATTGAATGGACCCATCATAATTAAATGAATATAATTACAAATTAAGGATTCAAATCTTTTAAATTTAAAAACTATAATAAAATAAAATACAATAAATAAGGAATGGGTATTAAAAAAAAATCATACATGCACCTAAAAGTGTACAATTTGAAAATTGAAGACATTTATAAAATTAAGATTAAAAAATAGTCCTCCCAAATATTATCTCAAAATTTTATATATTTTCTCTTTCGTTGTGTGGGCCTGACATTGGGCTTTGATGTGTGGACTTAATTTCTAATGATTCCAAAGATTCAACAGCTCAATCTCAATGCATAGAGTTTTTTCTTCAGAGTAAAATCAAACTCACAATATTTGGATTGAAAATTGACGTTTTAACCAGGTGAGTTATATTCAAATTGACTTCAGTGTCTAGAGTTTGTATGAAATTAGACTTTATAGAAATTAAATATCATTTTACTCCCTTTTTTTTTCCGCCAATCTTAGCTAAATTAGTTAAGACACCATCAACCTTTCCAAGATTCCAGTATTTAAAAGAAAAAAAAAATGACTAGGTTAAGAGTGAGACTTTCAGTTTAGTTAATGTATTTCCAGAATGTCTATTTTGATCTCTGTGCTTTTAAAAAGTTACTATTTTAATTTAGTCGATTCATTTTCATTTTATCTCGTTTTTTCAATCATAATTTCAGCATCGTACACTTTACTCACTAAATTTCTTGAAATTCAGTTATAAATTTGTATTAAAGAGCTTCCATTAAGGATCCATTTTTAAAAGTAGAGGAACCAAAATATATATACTTTTTGAAAGTTCATAGACTAAAATATAATGAACTAAAGTTGAAAATACAAAGACCAAAATGAATGTTTTTAGAGTCTAGTGACAACAAACAGTATTTAAACCAAAAACACAAATACATCTAACTTGAACTCCAAGCAACATAAAACCCAACCTTTTTTTTTGGGATACTTTTCTGCATCTGCAAGAACACATATATTCCTCTTCCCCCTCCTCAAGAAACCCCAAAACAACACAATACACACACACACACACTTCTTTTCACATAAGAGATTGAGAACAAGAAAACCCTCCATTAATCTCTGCAACATGAGCACCACTACACAGACCTCGAAAGAGAGCTCCAATGGCGGCCAAACCCAGAACAGGAAGCCACCAAAACGCACCACCATAATGAGAATCATAGGAAGAACAATGCTGGGAATTATAATCCTTTTGGGGCTCTCCATGGTCATAAACTGGCTTCTCATCATCCCCAAAGCTCCCACTTACAATGTGGAGACTTGCAATGTCACAGCCAACGCATTAACAGACAGAAACCTCAACGCCACCCTCGCTTTTACCATCAAAACCTCCAATCCCAACCGGAGAGCCGCCATCGACATCGACTCCATGAGAGTTACGGTGGAATACCTCGGCCAGAGGTTTCGCTCCACCGTCCCCTCCTTCTCCCTCGCCCCCGGGAAACAGACCCTCCTCAAGCCCGCCGTCGAGGTTTTCTCCACATCGCCCTTTGGGAATCTCAACGACACCGTACGCTCCAACGGGTTCGAAGTCGACCTTCGCCTCGAGGCGAAGATCAGGTACGGTTAGAGTGAAGAAGGAAGAAGAGGAGGCGAGAATTCTAGGATAAAACTTAGGTGGTTACTATTAAATAAGATTAACGATTGAAGAGAGATGAATGGATGACGGAATAGATGAAGGAATAGAGAAAATATAATACTTCCTACTAATTTTTTTTCAATTTAATCTCTTATATATTTAACATTTTTTAATCGTGTCATTTCTATTGTGAATATCACATGGCACATGATAATGAATGAGTCGATAGAAATTTAGATTGAAGATAAAGAAATTAGGCCTCGTGAAAGAGTAAACATATTTCTACCCTCTTACGCACTTTGAAAGTTGAGGTCTACTTTAGTTGTACTACTTCACCTGGGAGTTATTCCTTGAGCTTTGATTTTATGTTTATCTCGCCTAAGATTTTTTTTTTTTTTTATATTTTCTCTCTGTTTTCCTGTCTTGTGTCTGGTTAGGTGTTGTGCCTTGATCTCGGGCGAGATCCTCCATTTTATTTGTTTAATATATTTACCTTTACAAAAAAAATAAAAATCAAACATTAAAAACTAAAACATATATTTAGCGTATAACATATCAAATATTTTATAGGTTTTCATCTTATTTACTCTTTCAAAAGAATTTTTAGAATTATTTTCATATAGGTGTAAAAAGTTAAAAGGTAATATTTTATCTCTTGCTGAGAAAATTTATGGCTCCGTCCTTGAAGGTACGCTATCGAGAAATGGACATCGAAACGTCGATCGCTGGAGATCTACTGTGATTTGGTGGGCGGGCTAAAGATCAACACTTCTACACCCCTTGATAACAAAAAATGCAGAGTGGATCTCTGAGAATTACTTAATGATCTTAAGAAGTTGTTGGAAGTTTGCAGCTAATTTTGGACAAGGAAAGTTTTATTGTTTTCCGAAATTATTGATCAAACCATATAGAATAATAATGTGGTTGATAATTCTATGTTGTTCTTACTGTACGAGAGAGAAATTCAAATTTGTAATTTGAATAGCGGTCACGGAATGATTATTGTGGAGAAGGAATAGTTTTTATATAAAGAAGTAGCAATACGTTGAATTATTTTTGTTTGATGTAAGTTTGAAATATGTCTACTCTGCAATCATTTGATTTAGGGTTGATATACAATTTTTACGATGTATAGAATCGTTAGCTGCATTATTTGAGCTCCCTTTCAAATAATTTCATTCTCCAATTTTTACTGATGTGTTTATATATTTAAGCTATATTTAAGATTGTATCTATCCGATTATTATAAAATATAAGGAAGCATAGAGGGAAACAATGAGAATTTTAGAAGAATTTAGAAAAGAACAATACTTACCTTGACAATTAAGCTTGCCACACAACATTGATGAGAAAGTCTAGAATTGAGATTTGAGCAAGAATTTCTCCTACCGTAGTCGCTATTTCTTTTTCTTGATCGAGTTGATCAATAATTATATAGGATGGAGAATTGAACCAATAAATTTGTGACGAGTACTAATAAAATTGACCCAAAAAAAAAGATATCAACATGCAGGCTATCTAAGTAGTAGAGAAGAAATAGAACAAAGAAAAAAATAATAAGAGTGAGCTTGTTAAGAAAGTCCCAAGAAATTTCTTAAGCATAAACTTTTATAGTAAAGCATTATATTTGAAATATAAAGAAAAAGAAAAGAATCCTTATATATTAATTCTTTCTTCCATGTCAAGCATTTGTTAATTCTTCTTCCATGTCAAGAATTTTTCCTACTTTCTCACACCACAAGTTTCCATTTGTAATTATTGTGGTTAAAGACATAATAAATTTCTTTGTTAATAAATTAATTAGAAAATTATATGCACATATTCATATATACTAGGGAGAAAGATGGAGTAAGTTTAAAAAAATTATGTTAAAATAAGAAATTATGGAAATAAAGTTTTCTCGAATTTAATTTCGAGGAAATCATGGTTCTAAAATTGTCTATTGTAGAGATAGTTTTATTAAATGACGTGGTGAAATTGATCTATTGGCGAGGTGAATAAAAGTCATCCCTTGATTAAAAGATGATTTTTCCAAATAATGTTTAACAATCTTATTTGGTAGAGTARYTATGTGGTCTTGTAAATGACATCCTTTCATTTTCTTGGGATGAAAGATTAAATTTTCAAAAAACTCACCGTTTGTTGTACTAAATTTTTTTTATTAAATTTAGAAACTGTATTAAAACTAATAAAAATATATAAAAGCAATTTAAATGTTAAATTAAAGAAAGTGAAGAACCTTAGTTAAAAAAAATATGAAAAGAGAGAAAAATGAGTAAAAAAGAGAAAAAAAGAGAAAAAAATCTATATAAATGCACTTTCAATAAATTAAATTAGAAAATTCCCTAGAAATCAAACCATAAACCACATGAAATTGAAGCAACAAAAAATGCAAAATCTGGTAATTGCATTTATGCCCAAGCTCCACCTAGACTTGATGACTTGAATACCAAAAAAAGCTTACAAATATAACAATTTAGAGCAAAATAATAATAATAATATTAATAAAATAGAGGAAGGTTTATTTAGATCTAATGAATGCCAAACCGAGCATAACTCAAAAGGTCATGAGTTCGAACCCCCACCCCCACAATGTTGTACTCAAAAAAAAAATTTAGATCTAATGAATAATTATATTAACGATTCAGAATCAAACAATCAAGTAGCGAAGATTTTTCAATAAAAAAATCAATGCTATATTTTTTATGCTTGTAATACAACGACTTAATAATGATCTATAACATAATCAGGTCATTCTTGACAAAATTAAGATCATCTATAAGAAACTTTCAAATGTACGATTACACGCTTTTTAGGATTGATCTATAATTATATTATCTTTAACTATTTTTTTTTCTGTTTCAAACACTGACACTGAAAAATTAAAATTAAAAATAAAAAACTAATGTTCTTTGAAAAACATAGTATAAAAATGGTCTCCCCACCACAAATTGGAAATTACAAGGGAAAATAAAATAAATAAAAAAAAATCTAAAATGAATGAATAATCCTGTCAGAAATCTGTGAACAACAAATATATATAAAACAAATGTGGATAAGGAAAGAAAAAAATGAAACAATATAATTGCTATATACACACTAAACTAGCAAAATTAATTAGAACTCCTTTTAAAAACTATTTATATTCTCAATTTCATATTTAAAATTAAAAAAAAGTCTAATAAATAAAACAGAGGCATTTAAAAAACCAACAATTTGTGTGTTATTGATCCAAACAATAAGATACACAGATTTAATGTTACCAAATTTTTGTGTCTACAAATTAATAATTCACCAAATGCATTTAATTATAATTATGAAACATGAAAATAATATATGTAGTTTACAGAGAAAAATTAAGCAATAACTGAATAGGCCTTTGCTATAGCTATAGGTAATTTAAATATACTATTGATTTTAGTCGGTGTATTTTCGACTTTTGTTCATTTTAATTTGACCCCTGTATTTTTGGCTTTGGTTCATTTTAGTCTATGTAATTTTGAAGAAGGATCATATTAGATTTAGCCATTCATTTTCATTTTTATCTCATTTATTTCGATCAAAATTTTAGCACGATACTTCACTCAATTAAGTTTCCTAACATTTAACCACAAATTTKTATTAAAGGGTCTCTATTTCATGTATGAAATCTATGTGTTAAAATTTTATAAATATAGGGCCGAAATAGAGGTTTCGAAAGTATAAAAATTAAGATAAACAAAAGTTGAAAGTACAGAAACCAATATGAATCAAATATATATACATTCACGGTACGGTAACTTTAGGACCCCTACAAATATAGGATTGCCATAAATACACTAGAATTGTATCTTGAGTTCCCATATTGAATTAAAACCCAATACTCCAAAATCACTAAAGTTTAAATKTCTATAATTTAGGTCAATCAGTTAGATTTATATAACCTAAGTTCATATAACAGTAATAATGATGGACAGATGCAGAAGTTAAAATAGGTAAAATGTATATGATAAATATAGACTCGACTTCTTAAATCTCGAGCAACACCAACTTTAACCCGTAAGCCAATCATCTTTGCTTTTGAAGTACAAAAGCAAAGTTGTCATATTTATGGACACAAAACAAGCATCCTAGGAAAATGAACACATCTGTATTATGTTGTCGTTTCTTCCTTGGTATATTTTTGCTTTGCAAATTATCCTCTTATCTCTCTCCTACAAAGAAGACAGAAAAACCAGCCCCCCTCCAAACTTCTAAATAACTTACCTTTTTCCCCTTCTCAAACTTCTCAAGTATATGGTTCAAATTCATCCACTTTGGAACTTTCATAAGAAAAAACAGCAAATTAACAAATCCTTCCACCAAAATATATAATTATACGGAGACATTGAATCGATTTAGCCTCTAAATTTTAGAAACAATTTAATCTTTTGTAATTCAAAATTTTTAACAATTTAGTCTTTATGGTGGGAAAATAGGCTAACTRGATGTGTCAAAAGGTACATGAGTTCAGTGAACTCTATAGAACTTCAGTTCTACCCTAATTTATACCTCAGACACCATTTCTCACGGTTAAATTGTTACAAATTTTAAAAATACAGAAATTAGATTGTTAGTATGAAAATTTAGATACTAAATCGAGGGATGAAATATTTATATATAATTTGTGTGTATGTGTAGTGGTTTTATACACTGGTGCATCTTCTTTTGGCAGAAGAAACCCTATAAAACAAGCCAAACAAGGACTCTACCTCTCCCCTTCCGGTGGCTTCAAAGAAGCTTTGGTCGGGAAGTTTCCTCTTGCTCACTACTTTCCGCTTCCTCGGCGTCGGTGGGCAGCTCCGTGCGGTCGGTATTCGGTGTCGGAGAGATGTCGGAGTCCGACACCTGATCTCTCCACCGCCACCATCCGCTCCTCCTCCACCGTCCTCCTCGGTCCGATCACCCTCTTCCGGTGGCTTTTGGGTCTCCGGTGACTTTTGGTGATCGGAATTGTGAAATTCCGACATGGGGTTGGAGAGAGAGAGAGCCAAGACTTGAGTTTTAGAGAGAGAGAGATCAGATTTACTATTTATAGGCTTTTTTTTTAAGTACTTTTTGGTGTATTATTCTTGCAGGGGAAGATTTCAATTTGATCAACTTCCCTCGTACGCTTTGTGTAATATTTTTGTTCATAAATTAGAGGATTTATGATGAGATGGAGTTGTTAGGGCTTTGGATTTTCCACGTTGTTACAACAATGACATGACATAAAAGTCTTATCTTTTTCTTTCTAATCTAATAATACAGCTTCACCAATAATTTGGCTATTCTATTTCTACTATTTTTGTATTTGTGTGATCATTTTTTTCTTTTCTTTGAAAAATAAGTATTTGTGTGATCAATTCATTAAACTACATTTTATTAAATTATAGATTTAATTTTTCTATACTTTGATGATTATGTCGGTTATTTTTTTAGTTCAATTACATTTACCAACTTTTTTGATTTGATTTACCACAGATTTGGATATCTATTATCGTCTTACAGTTGAGGTTTAAATTTCCACATTTTTCATATTTGTTGTACTAAAAAAAAATATTGATGTAGTAGATTGATTGGGTATGACGCAATAGAGGTAGGTCAATTGGATATATAAAAAATGAGTAGGCGAGAATCTAGAAGTAATTTAGCTCAAAATTTATTAAGTACGTTTGCCATCAAATCTTTTTGGTTTGTCCACTTAACTTTTTATCTAGTTAGTCTACTCTCTTGTATCATGTCATGTCGAATTATCATTTCGCCTGCTTGTCCCATCAAATTCTTTTTTTTCTTGTCCAAATTATTTTATTCAGCTAATCTACTCTATTGTACCACTTTATGTTGAATTAACATATTCACTAATTGACAAAGATTTAATTAAAATCAAAATTTAGAGCCATACATTAAATAGACAATCATCAAAGTACAAGATTAATTTTTTTAAAAAAATTTATGCACAACATTTTAAGTCTTTATGTGTTTTAACATTACTTTCAATTTAGTCTTTATGTTTCATTATGCTTCTATGATCATTTTATTAAAATTTACAGATATCCCAAAAGTTTTTGTAGAAAAATAAAAATTCTAATCAAAAGGAAGATTTGAATAACTCAAAAATATAATAAATAAACATTACCTATATATGTTCTTAAAATAATTTTACTTCCAAGTTAAAACAACAACTAATCTCTATAAAAAAAAGRAGAAGAATTTACCTTTTTATGAATGCAACACTTGCAATATACACAAAAACTAACAAACAAAATTTTGTAAAATMAAAAATATATATATAAATATTGATGGGAGAGATAATCTCTCTGTTCGCTTCAATGATGTAGTTTGGATATCTATTATTACGTTAAGGTTGGAGGTTCAAATTTTCACAAATCATTTTTTTCACTAAAACAAATATTGATGCAGCAGGTTAATTAATTGATTGGGTTGATAAATTATGCGATATCGCACGATAGAGGTGGACCAGTTGGATATATAAAAAAAAATAGTAGGCGAGAGCCAAGAAGTTCAGTTTAAAATGTATTTCGTCCGCCATCAAACTGTTTTGGTTTGTACGTCTAAGTTTTTATCCAACTAGCATACTCTCTTATGTCACGTCATGAATTACCATTATGTTCGCTTGTCCCATCAATTTTTTTTTTACTTGTGTATTTAATTATTTTATCCAGCTAACCTACTCTCTTGTGTCACATCATGTCGAATTATCATACTCCCTASTCTAATCAACACGTTACATTAAGATTTAACACCTTACCTATATATGTTCTTAAGATAATTTTACTTCCAAATCTCTCCAAAGAAATCGAATTTACCTTTTTATAATTAAATGCAACACTTACCATATACACACAAACTAACAAACAAAATCTTGTAAAATCAAATCAAACTTTTAAGTGAAACATTGATTTGAGAGAGGGAAAAAAGGGGAATGAAATGAATGAATATCAAATTATACATAAAATAAAAAATAAAAAAAAAACTCCACCTTCAAAAGAGAGACATATATAAAAATTGATTATAACTTATGACCATCCAAATAAATCATGTCTCTATCTTTAAAGATTACATGAGAGATATGTGTTCCAAGAAGATACAAAAATGAAAGGTCACATAACTCATGACCCAACATATAATGGATAATAAACAAAGCATGTGGGGAATGGATGGGTGTCAAATTAAGAAAAATGGGTCAAATTCCATTTATTCCAACATAAACCATTGTAGCAATGTTTTTCTTGAAGAAAATAAAATAAGCAAAGAAAAACCCTTTTTTTGTTGATTAGTTTATTGTACTCTTGACAATTTGTATATGTTCGAATCCAAGTTTTAGGATTCTCATTTTCTCTAACATTTTAAGAAGGCACTATTCCAAGGTAACGTCGAGTGCAAACACGTAGTCCTTTTCCGTTGAAGCTAACGTGCATTCGGGTCTCAACAGCTTGAACACGTTGAATCCAAGAGTAGAGTTTAGTTCGATTTTGACCGGAAAATGATTTTGATTAATAGGAAATCGGCTAACTGCTGGTAGAACATAATTTTGTCAGAAAATTTAAGGATTTTCTAAATGTTGATGGAATATATGATAAATGGTAGGTATAAACGTCATCACTTCAAGGTGACACTTTTCAATATTCTCCTTATAACAGGCGGAGTCCCATCTTCTTAAAGGTACACAATCTCTTACATTTAATTAAAGCTCGATTCGACATCGGCTCGGAACTAAGTACTCACTTAAACTTTAAAGCGTACGTAGTCGAGCACCACATCAGTGCAAGGTTAGGTTACCAACTAACCTTGACGTGCGATGTAAGTCAAAATCGTGCCTCAATAAATACCAATGTTACTAAAATGTTTGAAGAAAATTTGAAATTTTGATTAGGTAAAAATATATGTGAGTTAGAGTTAGAATGAATTTAGAATAATTTTTTTGAGTATTGTACTTGTTTAAAATTGTTTTTAGAATTTAGAACCATATGAGTAAATTTGAAAGGTGATGGTCTAAAGGAAATTCATATTATACAGAAAAATTATTGGAGGAGACCACCAACGATGTAACTAGCGATTTTAAATTATTGGATGTATGAAAGAGAAACCACACAAAATATTTTGAATCGGTATCCAATGATAATTAGAAGGGCATACAAAACTTCGAAACTACATCAAACGATTATTAAGAGCAATTATATGATAATAAAAAGGAATTTTCAATTATATGATTCCATATGTGCTAGCTGGTCCATGGGCATTAGTGTCATTTCAAGTTTGTCTCTTTCTCTACCAATTGTGTGAAGGTTAGTCTTGGCCTTAGCGGCTGCATTGGATACCATTTTTCCAAAGCATATGCTAAATTATTATTATTATTATTATTATTATTATTATTATTATTATTATTATTATTATTATTATTATTATTTCTCCTGCCACACAATAATATATACAGAGACTTATTTGGATTTTGGGCTCTCACTCCTATCTTCACCAATTCCTTTTGTTCCTCATTTGGCTACATGCTTTTTAACTCCATGCTATGCTATTTTCTCCCTCAGTCGGAATCGATGCCCTTGCGATATTTGGAATTTTGAAAATCCACGTTCCAAAGGGACATTTAAAATATCGAATAGGCATTCTAGAATACTCGATTTCTTAAGATGTATCAATTTATTCATGGGTTCTATATCAAAATCAATTGGCAATTAGAAGGGTAGTTTATGTTTATTATAAATCACTGTTAAATCTCATCCCGATAAAATGTTATTGTATCTTATATTATTCCTATAAAATAAATGTTGAATCTAGATACTCCTCCCATGAAAACCAAATCTAAATATCTCATGGATGAGCATCTAGATTCTCATGTTTGTGGTAGGAATAAAAGATATTCATTCTTCTTGAGATGCTCGAGTATCTTAGGGTGCCCAGTAATAACATAACCAGTAGAGGATGGAAAACAAGATTATATAGGACTAATCTTTTACTTTGGTTGATGAAAAAAATGGTTCAATCTCGTGAAATCAACGTAGGTAAGATCTAACAACCCACCTAAAATTTTACCATACATACATATCAATTTGTCAAAAACCGACCAACCGATCGACTGCTCGATTGAAAGGTTCGAAAATAGTCGGTCCACGTTTATTTGGGCCTGAAAACAGACCGATGTCCCTGGAGCCACTTAAAAATTTAAGAACATTTTAGACCCCGTTTACTTACCTGCAATTGTAATCCATGAATCGTAATGAAAACTTTGATTCCATTTGATGGTGTTTACCAAATTGTAGGAATGTAATCAAATGGTGGGACCCACTCCAAACTTTGTAATCTCATTACACTCTTACAACCTCATCAATCCCATTCACATTCTCATTCTCGTGGATCTCACATATATATTATAATTAATATACCACTTTTATCCTTTCTCTCTCATTATGATTACATCCATATAATTTTTAATTAGTTTTTTCAATACTTTTATAATTTCTTCTCTATTTATGATTTTATTATATAATATTAATATTAATTAATACCAATAAATTTTTAAATAGATATTATTACTTTTAAATATTAGAATAATAAAACTTAATAATACATTTTATTAAAGTTTGGCTCTTCTAATAAAAAATATTTTATTTGATATAATTTTATTTTAATTATTTATTATGTATTAATATTACATAATCTGTTATAATAAAAAAATATTTACTATCAATAATATAGTAATAAATTAAATTAAAATTTATTATTATTGTAACTTAAAAAAGATTAGCACAATAATATATTTGTAATTGACTAGAAAGGAGAAAAGGTTATATTAGTAATTATTATATATCTTGTTCCGATTCCGATTCTGATTCCAGACAATTTTAGTAAACAACATCAAAAGAATACTGATTACGATTCTAGAATATTTTTAGTAAACAACATTAATTGAATAACGTTACGATTCCGATTGATTTCATTACGATTGTTTCAAATTACGATTGCGGTTAAGTAGATGTAGGCTTAAAGTAATAGATATTTTTATTATTTTTTTTTTTGAAATTAGATATTTTAAATTTATTAGACGCTAATCTTTTTATTTTATTTACTCAAAAAGGAATTAGAATTAAAACGATTAATTTATAGAACAACCGCTTGGAAACACCTACAGTTCACTTTTACTTTCAGTTACCATCCACGTGGCCATGAGTTCCCAAAAAAAGCGGACACGTGCGATCCACGTGTCCTCTCGGCCAATTCGGTGCACAATTTTCGCGTAACCGTTTGAAGTTAAAATCACCCGCGCATTTTTCCCCATTGTAAAACCGAAACGACGTGTCGTCAGAAACAAAGCCATGCCGCCGAGACGATCCCGGAGAGTCGTGGGATCTGTCGTCCGAACCACGACGAAGGTAGTGGAAGAAACTGTGGAAGTGACGGTGGTGGAGAAAGAGAGCCAGAATGCAACGCAAGAGCCTGAGACGGCGGAAACCGCCAGTGGCCCAAAATTCCGGCGAACCATTCCGGTGGAGGCTTCGACTCCGGCATTGGAATCATTAGAACCTTCTATGAAGGTTACAAAGGATATCGAAGCGACTCCGAAGTCAGTCGAAGCGACTCCAAAGTTAAAGGCCGACTCCAAGAGGGGAGATGTTAAGAGTATGAATAAAAGATTAAATTTATCATAATTTAGAGTGGCAAGTTTGAATACTTCTATTCCATTAATATTGGTGATTATTTGGAGTAAAAAATTTGAGGTTTTTTTTATTAAAACTTTTATATGTATAATATTTGGATTTGAAAACTTTATAAAGTGGGCAAGTGAAGAGAATTTTAAAATCTTTACTTTTGTATACTTTTTTTAGTATATAGAAGGAATTAAGAGGTACTAACGCTTGAGTTACAATGCTTTTCTGACAAATATTGTAACAAAAATTTGACAAGTTTAGAAGATAAAAATAATTTTTTGAACGAGGATGATAGTTAAAATATTAGCATAAGGTTAAATACTTAAGTATATTCTTTTAATTAAGTAAGCGGGTTTTAAGAGTAAAGAGTATAATTAAATTATGTGTGACATTAAAGTTTTTGGGTTTGGCCGTGAATGAACAGAGAAAGTAGAAGGAAAAGGGAGGAGCAAGAGGAAAGGCCGTGGGCGCGGCAGGGAAGGGTACAAGAGATATTTGTTCATGGTGTTGAAGCAAGTGCATCCCGGGATGGGGATATCGGGCCAAGCCATGGTGATTCTCGACAATCTCATGAACGACATGTTCGAGAGACTGGTAGAAGAGGCCACCAGGCTCTCCAAATATACGGGTAAGAGAATTCAAACTCACCGCTTCGTGGTTACGCGTAGAAACTTTTAATATAATTTTATAGTTATATTTCAAGAAATTTAAYGAGTGAAGTATCTAATTTGTCCGAGTACACTAGGTAGAATGACGTTGTCGAGCCGAGAAATACAAGGTGCGGTGCGGCTGGTGGTTCCCGGCGAGCTGGGGAAGCACGCCATTGCCGAGGGAACTAAAGCTGTCTCTACCTTCGTCTCTAATCATGGATTACCAAAGCATTAACTCTTCATATTTGGGCATTTTTGTTGCAAACTTCTCTCTTTTGATGATTGTTGTATTCTAATTAGTAATTACTATAGGGTTACTCACTCTTTTCTTTTTCTTTTTAAAAATGTATATATGTACTTTTTTCTTATGATGGTCTAATACTTGAAAAATAATTATTTACTTCAAAAACTCTGTAACATATGGATTTCAGTGTTACATTGTCCACATTTTCTCCATCACTCTAATAATTATGGGTTCCGCTTGTTTCAATTTTTAATTTTTAACATGCCTGATTCTATCTTCGTTTCGAGAGTTTTGATTCATTGATTTTGTTTGGATTTTATTTTTTAATTGAGTGTTCGTTTGAGTGTTTTAGGTTTTGATACTCTATGGATGTTTCTGGTCGGATTTTATTTTTGAATTGAGTGTTCGTTCGAGTGTCTTTGGCCATGAGAAGAGAGTAGTTCATATCTATTATAAACGTTTGTTAGGTATCTTTTATCTTATCAATGTAAGATCTTTTTAACACTTTAATATAAGGTGTGCGTTACTAAGCTTACCATAGTTCATCAATACCAATGATCAACCCGCAGATATATTCACCAAATCTATGATCGAAAAGTTCAAGAAGTTTTTGAAGTTTTTGAAAATTACAAATTAAGAGGGGTTGAAAAATAGTAATTTGTAATTTTCAAATATGCTAGAAACTTCTAGAGCTATCCACACAAATAGTTATCTATAGATTTAACTAGAAGTTTGTAAATAAATATCTAAATAAAATACTTTAGAATCATCTGGCTTTTTTTCTAGGTTCTAGCTTTTTTTCTAGGTTCCAAGGAATTATACTCTATAAATGGAGATGTTATCTCCCCTTCCATGTAATCAAGAAAAACCAAAAACTTAAATTAAGAAAGTGCCAAAGCAGAATATTACTTTCTTTCACTGCCTCCAACAAATTTGGTATCAGAGTCATCCTAAAATTGAACATGACTTCTAGTTATGTTCCAAACTTATTTACCCTTCCAACGAACCAAGTTCTCGTATTTGATGGAGAGCATTATGAATACTGGCGGAGTCAAATGGAGACAATTTTCATTTCTCAAGATTTTGGGAAATCATTGAAGAAGACTATGAAGATGAAGGCACCAAGGAGATGACACCAGAATAAGAGAAGGAGTTTAAGAAGAACAAAAGACGAAATGCTTTAGCTCTCCAACTCATTCAGCAAGGTGTTAGTAGGTCCATTTTCTCTCGAATATTTCGTATTAAAAAAGCTAAAGATGCTTGGGAAATTTTGCAAAAGGAATTTCAAGGATTTGAAAAAATTATCTCCATCAAGTTGCAATCCTTGTGGAGAGATTTTGACAACTTGGTGATAAAGGAAAGTGAAAACATTCAGGAATTCTTTTCTCGAGTTGCAGAAATTATTAACCAAATGAAGAACTATGGAGAGACTATTCAAGAAAAGAAAGTCAATGAAAAAGTTCTTCGAAGCCTTCCTCCAAAATTTAACCATGTTGTTGCAGGAATCGAAGAGTCCAAAGATTTGTCTAAATTGACAATCTTTGAACTAATGAGATCGCTTCAAGCTCACGAAGAGAGATTGAACAAGTGTCCAACTCAAATTGTGGAGCAAGCCTTTCATACCAAGCTAAATTTTGCATAAAAGAAGACATTCAAGTCTAATCATCAAAAACGGTGGAATCCTGTGTAAAAGAAGGATGGACAACATGATCAACGGGACAAGGGAAAATGGCACAGCAAGAAATCCGGTAATACTGACTCTTACTGCATTATTTGAAAAAAGTTCAATCATCAATCGAAAGATTGTTACTTTAGATGCACTAAATGTCAGATTGCAAATCATTCTAAAAAAGATTATTGGTTTCCAAATAAAAAAGATGAAGCAAATTTTACAAAAGAAGATAAATGGGAGCAATTGTTTTCTTGTACAATTGTCCAACATGAATCGCAAAGTATATGGTACGTGGATAGTGGTTGCAGTAATCACATGATAGGAAATGAAGACTTTTTTGTCAAGCTTGATCGCAGTTTCAGCTCTCAAGTAAAGCTCGGAAATGGCAAGATGCACAAAGCTGAAGGAAAAGGAGTTATTATTGTCCACACCAAGAAAGGAGATACAAGGTATATTTCAGATGTTCTTTACGTTCCTAGCATAACCCAAAATCTGTTTAGTGTTGGTCAGCTACTTCAGAAAGGATATGCAGTCAATTTTGATGATGGCAAGTGCATTATTATGGACAAGAAAAAGGATCAGATAGTAGCAAAGGTTGATATCTCTGTCACCAAAGTCTTTCCGCTCATGATGCCTCTGGAAGAAAACTTTTCTCTCAAGAGCGAAAGTCCAGATATTTCGTACCTATGTCATTAAGGTATGGTCATTTTTACTGCAAAGGTCTTCTTACACTAAAACAAAAAAATATGGTGATTGTTCTACCTAAAATTGAAGATAATGGAAAGGTATGTGAAGGTTGCATCTATGGGAAAATCCATAGACTTCCTTTCCCTAAAACTTCGTGGAGGGCTAAATCTCCACTAGAGTTGGTGCATGCAGACATATGTGGTCCTACAAGAACTCCAACTCTCACTGACAAAATATATTTCATTTTATTTGTCGACGATTTTACAAGAATGATGTGGATTTATTTCCTTAACGAAAAATCAGAGGTTTTTGCTACTTTTCTTCAATTTAAAGCTCTTGCAGAAAACCAAAGTGGCAAAAAGATCAAAACTTTGAGACCAGATCGAGGAGGTGAGTTCATCTACAAGCCATTCATGGACTATTGCAAGGAGAATGGCATAATGAGACAATTAACCGTTCGACACAGTCCACATCAAAATGGTGTTGTTGAAAGAAATAATCGAACCATTGTGGAAATGGCACGGAGCATGTTGAAAGCTAAAGGACTTCCAAATAATTTGTGGGCAGAAGCTGTCAATACAGCTGTCTATATCCTCAATCGGTGTCCTACCAAAGTATTAGAAGACAAAACTCCTTTCGAAGCATGGAATAAGAGGAAACCTGTTGTTCATCACTTCAAAGTTTTTTGCTGCCCAGCTTATTCTTTAATTCCTTCTCGAGAAAGAGAAAAGTTTGATAAAAAAGGAGCTAAATACTTATTCATCGGCTACAGTGAGGAATCAAAGGGATATCGATTGCTAGATCCAGAGACGAAGAAATTGTTGATATCAAGAGACGTAATATTTGACGAAATGGCCACATGAGATTTTGAGAATAATGGTTCTCAACCTTCCCAAGAGTACGAAGATATTCAAGAGCTTGATAGCTAACAAGATTCTCAGAATTTGAGCTCACCAAGAAGTTCTCCTTCAACTACTACGAGATCGATAGTTGAAGCTACTTCAAATCAAGAAAGCTCGGAATCTCCCCCGACGCAATGGCGCTGAGTCTTTTATGTTTGAAAACAGAAAACGAGAATAAAAAACACAAAACAAATAAACAAATCTTAAAATTTTGTTATATATATATAAATAGATCTTTCACATCAAATTCAGGAAAAAGTCCACCTACTTTCCATCAATTAGAGGATCCCTACGAACTCAAAAAAGAAAACAAAAGGGGAAAAAAAGATCATCAATTATTTTAGAGGATTTAATTTAAATAAAACTATTATTAACCCAATTTTTAGTTTTAAAGAGTTATAAAATCAATATAGCTGCTGATTAAACCACTCATTTCTATCACAAGTTTTTGGAGCTTATTACTTGTCTATTTTTGTAACTATATGACTTTATTCCTAATTTAGTTTTAAAAATTAGGATTAATTGAGAGTTTTATCAAATGTTTTAACCTATGAAAATGACTTTGTTGAGCTGTTTTGAAAGCAAAAGGTAACTACCTACTTATGAGCTAGAATAGTTTCAATTTTTAAATGTATATATATAAATTTCCCAATCCATTTAGTTATTTCTTTAATTAAGTATAATGATTCTTGTAAAGAACCTTCTTGGAGTAAAATTAGTTTATCTCTCAAAACATGATGATTATGATCTAATCAATTAGTTTTCATCATGAATTCCTAATAAAATGGTTTGATTTTAATATAGAAATGGTTGAGAAAATGAATAATATACATTTTAAGCACAAAAGCATGAAACAAAACATCATGAACCTAGTCGTAGGGCAAGTGGGTAAGGCCAATTGATTAACCTATTGCACCTACCCTTTCTAAAATTTCAAATATGGTCCAATAAACTTTGGGGTTAAGTTTTCTTTTTTAGTCCGATGTCGAAAATTTTGCGTTTTATGGTGGTACTTTCATGAAAACCATATCATCAACTTCTAGAACCAACTTCTTTTGTCTAATATATAGACGGGATTTAACCAAACAATCACTATACATAGAAAATTGAAGAAATAAGAGAGAAAATAATCCATTTGAGCATGAAAACGTTAAGGTACAAGGACGATAAACTTTCTTTGTAGGTAGTAACGTCAACCAAACTTGATACCATCCAAGAAAAAGAAAAAAGAAGAATAAACTTTACTTGGTAATCTTTAGTAGACTTCAATAGACCATAGTCATATATAGAGGGGAAAAAGGAAGAATAAACTTTCCTTTGATGGTCTTCAATGAATCTTGATAGCTACCTTCAATAGTACTAAGGATACTTCAATTTACTTTTTAGTCCGTGTGATTTTAAAAGTTTAAAATTTGACTTTTACAGTCTTGGCCGAGTTACAATTTGACATAATTTTAAATCTTTGAGTTTGATCTCTATAATTTGACAAGTTTCAATTTAGTTGCTCTAATTTGAAAATTTATTTTAATTTGATATTTATGATCTAATGATACGTCACGATATGTGATATTTAATCGAATTCTAAGAACTATCAAAGTAATAAAATCAAAATTTGGTAGTTAATTATTTTTATACTATTTTCCTAGATTTTAGTCCATTTAAGTACAAATTATCTAAAATAAAACCAATTTGGCATAAAATTCAATACAATTTAGTCAGTACTATTTTAATCAAGGAACTTTTCCTTTTGGTTAGTTTCGATTCTACTATTAAAAAATTCATTTTGGTATCTGTATTTATAATTTTTGTTCATTTTAGTCTTGTATTTTTAAAACATCCATTTTGACTCCTCTATTTTTAAAAAAGTGGTCAATTTTATCTATATTTATAAAATTTTAAAATAAATTTTATACACAATGCAAAAGCAAATCCTTTAATTCAATGGTTATATATCAAAAATTAGTGAGTAGAGTGTTATAATAAAATTTTAATAAAAATAAATTAGATAACAATGAAAATGAATGAACAAAAGTATCATTCTTTAAAAGTATATAAACCAAAATAAACCTTTTGAAAATGTTCGATAATTAAAATGAACACCAAAATAGACATTTGAAATAACATATCAAAATAGTATAGAAAAGTGACTAATTTGATCTGAAGCAACTAAAATTATCTCTTCTTAATAATATAACATGAATTAAAATCAACATTTTAAAAATTGAGAGGCAAAATATTTAATTATATATAATTAATTATTCTGGCAAAGTGCTAACCCGGAATTTTCAATTTGCCGACTTTGCGTATTCCCCAACGGCAATCGAAAAAAATAAATAAATAATTTAAAGAAAGAAAAAAGTTTTTGCGTAACATCCAAAATTCCAAACACGCCCCTTCCTCCTAATCCAATCCAACGGCCCCAGCTTCCCTCGACCTACCATCTCCCGATCTCCACCGTCAGATCAAAACCGGTCCTTTCTCTATATCTTCTCCCGTGTCTCGGCATTGAAGGCTCCTCCTTCCTTCCGCTGGAAATTATTTTCTTTTCTTTTCCGGGATTGTTGATTTCATTTTCCCGGGAAACAAACAGATGATAGTCCCGCCATGGCTTGAATCTTTACTCTCCACAGGGTTCTTCTTCCTCTGCCCTTCGCACAAAGACGCCCCACGAAGTGAATGCAATATGTTCTGCCTGGACTGCCCCCATGGCTCCTTCTGCTTCTACTGCCGATCCAATCACCACCATGATCACCATGTCATTCAGGTCCCTATTTTTCTTCTCCTTCTTTTTCCAGGAAAATTTAGTTTGTTTCCCGAGAAAATGAATGCAGGTTCAAAATCTGTCCTTTTAAATGGGGTTTTGGATTGAATGTAGCCGCCACACTGTGGTTGTCCTCTGAATCTTGAAAACTTGTCTAATGGGGTTGCTTTCGGACAACCCTTGAATGCCGATTCAAAATTTGTTAGCTTGAAATTAGATTGAAATTATCACTTGCTTTTGTACGGGAAATATCTCATGGCAGATCATCAAGACTTCGTTAGAATTATCTAAAGTATCTAATGTTGTTTATAATTATTTCGTTTTTAGTTTTCTGTTTTTTGTCAGGTTTTTATAAACTACATAACAAAACAAAAAAAAGATTGGTGAAAATAATGTTACTATGTTAATTAATTAGCTTAATTTTTAAAAATAGAAAATCAATTATTACTAACCAAATTAATATAGGGCTAAAATTACAGACCTAAAATTCACAAGTCGTACGAAATTATTAATTACATTGTCTCAATTCGTCCAATATATTTATTTATTTGCAGATTAGGAGATCGTCGTACCATGACGTGGTGAGAGTGGCAGAGATCGAGAAGGTTTTGGATATAAGTGAAGTTCAAACGTATGTAATAAACAGCGCTAGAGTTTTGTTTCTAAACGAGAGGCCGCAACCGAAGAACTCTGCAAGTAAAGGGAGCTCTCAATCTCATGTTTGTGAGATTTGTGCTAGAAGTCTCTTGGATCCCTTTCGTTTTTGCTCCCTAGGTTGCAAGGTAATTATGTTTTCTCATTTTTCTCTAACCATTTGTTTCGGGTTCAAATTTCGTTCATCTATGCTTGAGTTGAAAATTTTCTCGATTTAGTATTTTATCATTAAGTTTTTTTAGTACAACATATGGAGTGGGGGATGGAATTTACAACCTCTTGATTGAAGATATATTTCAATTACAACTCAGTTATGCTGACTTTGGCTATTTAATCAGGTTAATTATTATAATATGAATTAAAAGTTATATATAAGATTGATAGATAGGTAGCTGAAGTGGTTAAGATGACATTATTTTTTTATTTTTTTTATCAGAGTTTGTAATACAGTGTTTTATTTTTAAGGAAAAAAGTTTGTGAAATGAAATTGTAATAATATGATATTTTGAAAGGTTGAATACATAATTATAATCTATAATATTTGACTTAGTAATTCTCACACTGCACTGGTTTTTTTTTTAATCAAGTCCTCACTTTCATAGAACTGTTTACATTTTTTGTTTGACAAAAATCATTGATGATGTCATAATATATTTTAGGACAAAATATATTGTTGGTTCATTAGATTTGAGATTAGTGTTTATTTAATTTCTAAGACTTCACTTAAGATACTTTTAGTCTTTGAAGTTTGAGAAAATATTATTAAAGGTCCCTTAGTTTTTTGACCACTAACGTTAAAATGATGTGACGGTTAAATTGCTTAGGGGATTTTTAGAGTTCGCCAAATATATTATTTTAATGATATTTTATTGTTCATTGCACTCTTTCTCCTCCCCTCTTCTCTCCTTCTCGACCCCCTCTTCCAACGAACCTCGCTACTGGTGGCTGTCCTTCTTTCCTTTCCTACAGTCCGTCATGAAATGCCTTTGCCAGTTGCTAGAAACCCTTCACTAGCTATCGATCTATCTGTTTGGATGAGAAATGAAAAAATCGCCTCATCCTAGTTGAACCAGGTACTAAGGACGTTTCTCGTCTAAATCTGGAACAAGGGTCTTTCCTCGTTCAATTAGAATGAGAACCTGTTCATTGTTTATATTTGGAATTGGATGCCGAACCACCCTAATGATCCTTTTTCTAGATAGATTGTAACGATGAAGGTTTTCAGTGACGACAAGCTGAAGAGGAGGGAGATAGTGGGCAGCAGCGAGTTTCACTGGAGGAGATGGAGAAAATGGAATAGAGTAAGGAGAGAGAGATAGTCCAGTGACAAAAAAATAATTATCAAACTAATATATTTTACCGGCCACATTATCTTAATTACCGTTAGTCTATTTATAGTCAAAGTAGTTCATTGATCATTGAAAACTTTTTCTTAAACTTTAGGGGTCAAATAAACACTAACTCAAAATCACAGGAACCAAAAATGTATTTTGCCCTACATTTATCAGTCAATTTAAAAGTCACTCTATGTTTGAGTGGGATGAAATAGACATATCGTCCATCTCTGAAATCGAGAATGTAACTACTTCATAGTCATATGACCTTAACCTACCGCGAACATCCTACCTGACTCGAAGTTGGCATGTGTTATTATAGAAAATAAAGCCAGAAAAAATGTCAATATACTAACAACTACCAGTTCCATCAAAATAGAACCAAAAAGTTACACATTTATCAAGTCAAGCTCAACTAGTCAGCTAGATCATATGTTTAACTGTCTCTCTTCTTTCTAAGTTCTAGGTTCAAATTTTCTCTCTGTATTTCGTATTTCTTAAATTACAACAGTATTTTTGACCGGTGATATAGGTCGTGGGAATAAAGAATAACGGCGATTCGAACTTCTATCCGAGGGGGGAGAATAATGAAGAAGTTTTGGGCAGAAGATTGGGATCAAAGGAAGAGGAAGAAGAATTGCTTGAAAGGAGGAAGCAAGAAGCTGAAATATACCATCACACGCATCCTTCACATTCCAATTCAAGGAGGAGGAAAGGCATCCCTCATAGAGCACCTTTTTAATATATTTATTTATTTATTCACTAATTTATATCACCCCTTTTTTATTTTTATTTTTTTATAAAATAATAATTAATTGTATTATTGCACATGCCCATGTAATTAATTATTAATTGATCTCACACCCAATTATTTAACCAAACCCACATGGTTTTCCTTATGCAAACCAAGATATCATTATACCAATTTTTATAATTACTTTTATTAATTTTTTTTAGATTTAATTATCCAACAAAACTACATGTTGACATATACATTCAAACAAGGTTGTGAATTCGATCTCCACTCCCATATGTTGGACTAAAAAAACAAGAATAATAAATACTTATAAAAATAAAAAAAAATTCAATCACAACAACAGTTATAATCCGTCATTCTTTAAAGAAAAATATGAAAACTAAATTAATGGAGACTATTAATTTTATCACTTATTTAAATTTATGGTTCAATCGAAAATTAATGGGATTAAGACTTGACTAATCAAAATTAACTTTTAATATAACTAACTTAGTACCTTTCACTATTCAATGACATTAAATAATAGTTCTCTTTATTTAATAATAAGAACTCAAACAGTACTCATCCATGACGGTACCATTCATCAAGTTGAGGATATATAATTGTTTCTATATTTTCAAAATTCTTTTTTAAGCTAAACAAAAATATATATTTTAAATCTTATTTTAGTTAATAAACTTTTAAGATTTTTTTATTTTTATTTCTCAATTTTTAAGTTTTAATTCCACAACTTTTTGGTTTATTATGTATTAATTCCTAAACTTTTGACATATCCATCTTAGTTTCTAAACTTAAGAAGATAAGTATTTAGATTATTGCATTTTCTATATTAATTTTTTTTTCTTTAATACAACAATTTGAATATACGGGGATTGAACTTTCAAACTCGAATGAATGAGTATATGTCAATTATCGCTGAACTATACTTATGTTGACTATTGTTCAGCAGATTGATAATGTTACTTTCAATATGTGTAATATAATGCGTATGCGACATTTGCATGTATTATAGTCGTATAGCTAGGTTGGTTGAGGTAGATATTGAATGGTCGACGTCGAATAATAGTAGCAATGATCAAATTGATATTTTGATGTACTTCGAGGATTCATCGAAATAAGTATTTTGATCGTTTAAGGATTAATTAAAGTGTTTCTTAAATTTCATAGATTAAAATAGATATAATTTAAGTTGGACTTGATATTTGCAGTTTTAAGAAATTTGATTTTAGATATATGGAGAGAAATAATCAAGAAAAAAAAAACAAGAAAATGTGAAAACACAGTAATATGATAATAATTGTTTGCCATATATCATATCATATGGCCAACCTGTAATTGAATAGTAGAGCATTAAAATTCCCTAATGATGAAAGTAACACTCAAAGCCAATAATATGATTAAAGAATAAAATTTTAGCTTTTTAAGATTTTATTTTATTTATATCATATCTCTCTCCCATTCAATATTTTCTCAGGCCAATAAACCTAGATAAATTTGATCGATTTTTTTCATTTTTAGTTTCAATTTTAGGTAAAGAGTGTAAGGTCGTATATGTTATGAACAGTTCCATTACATGTGTTTAAATCAATTGTTTAGATTTATGAATGTCAACTTAACAATTCAAACTAGATATTCACTATTTGGATAAGAAAAGCAACTATTATGAGATGAAAATTAAAATGTTTGCAGTACATCTCATGTACTACGAAGCTAAGAGTTTAATGCGAGAACTTTCGCGAGGTACGTGATATGTTTTGTGAATCCAACAAAGAAAATATTTAGGTCCTTACAGGTAAGGATACCTATTTTGTGCGGACCACCGTCGAATGTCGTTTGTCAACTAATGCAAAAATAGAATTTTATAAAACAAGAAATTAATGAGTTGTCAAACTTCAATATTGGAAGATAAGTCTATGTCAGGAAGGTATTTTCCTTCCACTAAATGATTCACATCTAACTTTTATATATATATATATATATAGCTCTTGCATGCTCGATTAGACAGGAGTAATTCACATAGAAAGATATCATATATATTTTGGATCGATAGAGATCTCTAACTTCATCGGTCTTGATTAATTCATCTATAAATAGATGTTCATCTTTAATTTCTCTTCGGAGTATTTTCTTTCTCATAAGATTCATGACTAAGTAATGATAACTCATGTCGACTCAAATTTATTAATATATAAAGCAATCTTTTGTTAGCATCTAATCGAAAGGAGAATTGATGAGTTAAGCCCAAAATAGAGACTTCTAAATTTTAGGCAAGCACCATGGGACAAATACGTGACCAAAAAATAGAATTTTTCCCAAAACATGTACAAAAGTGCTAGTCTAATCCATAKTGTGACACGAAACGAATAATGTTTGCATTTACATTTTTCATGTACAATTATAAATTCGAACATAGTTCAATTGATTAAAGCATTATATATCTGTCTATAATATTCAAAATTTTAATTTCTAAAAAAACATTTTTCATCTCACTCTTGTGAGAACCTAGCTAATATGTTCATATTATGGCACAAAATAATTGTATCCAAGGAATATGAGTTTTTTTTTTCTTTCTTATGGAATTAGTGAAGATATATGGTATTTTAAATTATTATTATTAACTAATTCATTTAGAATCTCTTATATTCTAGAACTATTTCAATTTTCATCAAGAAGGTAATAAAACAATTGGTTGGTGATGGGAGAATAATAATAACAAAGCTGATTGGAATAAATATTGAGAAAGAAACAGGTAAGCAATGAGATTAAGGTGAGGTAAGCAATTAAGTTAAGGTGTCGGTATCTCACTCTCTTTAAGAAGATTTAAACCCTCCGTGGTATGCGTATTTTTTTATCAACCACTGATACAGCATATATTCTYAGGCATGTTCTTCCAGGATACAATAATCCAACGKGAAATATTATATAGCTCAAACTACTCTACAACTAGAGGTTGAACTCGAAGCTCTACARCAAAGAAAACACCCGGCCTCTTTAAAGAGTAAGATAGAGAAAGTAGAATATCATGTATGTTGTATTGGTTGTATTTTGAGAGTGCAGTAAGAGAAATATTTATAGGAATTTTAGATGCAGTAACTTAAAATTAACAAGTTTTTAGCTTCTCTTTTTTTTCAAATATGTTTTCTTCACAATTTGATAAAATATATCAAACCTTAACTCTCAAATTAAATAATAAAAACAAATTTGTTAAAATATTATCATAGCTTTATATATATTAGAGCGGTTTCCTTGTGTATAGAATTTTGTAAACATAGACCAAAACAATAACATAGGCCAAAAGCTAAAATAGGTGTTTCAGTAAAATTTCAAAAAAAAAATGTTAAATGTAGAGGGACTAAAAGAGGTGTTTTGAAATTATTTGTTAGATTTTAAAATCTCTTTTTAAAAATTAAAGAAAATTATAAAAAATATATAAAAAATATAATTGTATTAAGGCCATGTTTTTTTTTTTAATAATGGGTTTTAAGCGTAGGGAGAGGAACGAATCCGAATGACTGAATCTCAATGAATGTAAATGAAAATCAATAAATGAGATAAATGGTATTTAAGTCATGTTTACTGTAAAAAAAAGAATTCATTCTCTTGATGGAATGAAATAAAATAGCAGTACTCATCCCAAACTCTAATTTTATTCCTCTTCTACAATCTCATTCCTATTTACCAATGGCAAAAAAATTCGCGGACCCGAAGATCCGATCCGATCGGGATGGGAATCCCCGGTTTGACCGAAGACGCGATCCTAATCGGGATCTCCGATGGGGACAGGGGAGGATTGCCCGCCCCATTTAATATTTTGTTTTTTACTATTTTTTATATAATAATATTAATATATATAAATTTTATAAATACTTTTTAAATTAAAAAAAAAACTCAAACTAAGAGCCCAATTAACCATTTTTCACCGCTTCTTATACTAGTAATAAAAAATTAATTAAAATTTCAAAAAATAAAAATAAAAGATTATAAAAAATATATATCGGGAAATCCCCGCCCCCAAAAGTTCGAGGACGAGGGAGAAGATGGGAAAAAATCCAACGGGACGGGGATGGGGAAGGCCCCCGCCCCGTCCCGCCTCATTGCCATCCTTGTTCCTATCATTTATTTTGTGGAACCTACATATTTATTATAAAAACTTTACTATTTTCATCCTTTCTCTTCCCTACCCATAACTTTTCTAATTAATTATTTTATACTTTTATTATTCCTTTTTCATTTTTCAAGTACATATTTCTTTTTCATTTATATTACTAATAATTTTCTTCTAATAAAAATATAAACATTTTCTTATTAGTTGATGTGATTTTACTATAAAATATTTTTTATTTTTTAATTTTTTAATTTTAATTTTGTTATTATTAATTAATATAAATATATTTTAAAAATAGATTTCAATTGATATTAGAAATAATAATATTTTATATTGAATGATGCTTATTCTAGTTAAAAAAAAAGTATTTTAATGTAATTTTATTTTAATTATTCATTATTTATAATTAAAAAAATTGTTATAATAAAAAATGTATGGTGATAAAATAACTTAAAAAAAGATTAACACAATGTATTTGTAAACCACCAGAAGGAAAGGAAGACAAGAATATACAATAATCGTTATATATCTGATTCTGATTTCAAATAGTTTTAGTAAATAATATCAAAGAAAGTTTGATCCTAATTCTAGAAATTTTTTTATAAAAATAATAAAAAAATAATTCTTTTTAGTACAACATGTGAGGTAGATGAACGAACTTAAAAGATATATGTCAATTACCGCTGAGCTGCTCGCTTTGACATAAATTAAAAAACATAAAAAAAAAATAACCTTCATGTTGATGCTGGAAATTTTGTGGATTTGGTCACACGTAAATTAGTATCGGGGAAGTCGATTGAAGAGAGTAGGAGGAGAGTAGGGGGTTTCAGGCCTACCTTTTAGGTGTGACCCATTTCCTTATTTATAGTTTTTCCTCCCTACTAGGGTTTCATTATTTGAACCTTAGGTCATTCACATCGAGCTTCTTGGGCCGTGAGATGTTTCGTTGCGGGCTCCAACCTCAGAACAGGGTCGAGGTTCTACAAACACAAGTCGGTCGGGACAAGGATCGAGAGAAAAGTTGAGAGGTGTTCTCGACCCGTAGCCGAGAACACCTCGATGCCGAGGTTGGGTCCACTGTTGAGTGGTTCGGCCCTTAGGTTATGTGCCGGCCCCGATTGGTAGTAGTTTCGAGGTTCTTCCTTCTTCTCTCCGATCCGACTCTCATTCTTGTTTGGACCATTTTGCTTCCTATAACACTTCATATTCTTTATTGGTTTCATTTTGATTTTCATTTCGAAGTAAAGAGTGCCTTGGTTTAAACCATTTCTTTTCCAAAATATATCGAGAAAATAAGGAATAAAACGGCACCGTTTGGTTGTTCTCCCTCCGTCTCGAGTGGGCGCCAAATCGCGAAGAGAGATGGACTACAGCTTAGCAGCGCTGAAGGTTCTGTGCGCGCAGCTCACCGGCGCCCGCCCAACGCCGTCGCAGCACGCCGCCACTCTCGGCGGCATTCTCTTCCAGCGCGCCTGGCTTCAGGTCCTCTCTTCCTCTTCTTTATCCTCCTTTCTTTTCCTTCTCCGATTCTCAGAATCTCTAATCACACCTCTCCGGGCAGGGGATTTTGGTCTCCGTCGACAAACACAACGCCAGATTGGTTCTCGACGACGGCACCGGCACCGTCGAGCTCTCCCTCTCTCGCGATTTCCGCCTCCGCCCTTGGAACCTCGGTACACTTTCCCCTTAAATTTTCAATTTATCTCATCCAACAAAGTTTTACAAGTTCTACGCCCTACGCTCTTTCCTTCTGCTTTTTTTTTTTTTAGGTTAAAATTTCTCTCGCTTTGTTCGTACAGGGATGTATGTGATGGTTGTTGGAGCATTTGTCATCCGGCCGAATGAGCCGCCGATTATTGGGGTGAGAAGAATTTAATCGATGTTTTGTTTTTCCCCTGATTCGTCTTTTCTTGTAAAGAGAAAATGGAGTGAATACCTAAAGCATCACTGTACCAATTTGTTGTGATGAAATGAAATGTTGTTTTTAATTGTAACTTTTGCTTACCTAGTTCTCTTCGCAATTAGTCATTTCCTTGGTTGAAAATTCTTGAACACAAAAGAGGTTGATGGATGGTTGTTGAATTCTTGAACTGCATTTTATTTTGGACACTTTTGCATGACATTGTTGCTGTTTTTGCTTTATTTTAGACATTAGATGAGGTTTCTTCAGCTGCATCAGCTGTTTTTTTCATGAGGCCTATGATAAAGTTGAGACAGAAGCAAGAGGCCAGAATATTGAGAAAGTGCTTTTTGTTTACCTTGTTTTCATGTTTCCTATATATATATATATATGTATACATACATACATACATTAAGAGAGAGAAACAAAAGAGATAACAATCTAAGGACGAGGGACAAGGCGTCCCTCTCCAAAAAACTAGCAGATAGAGCTCCCCAATCTTGTATAATCATTATGTAATTACAAAAGAATTTTCTGTTCCTATGACACCACCACGACGCCGTAGTATGAACACTATCACAAAAAAAGAATCAAGAGAGTTAGCTTTATCCTCGAAAGACCAAAGATTCCTTTCTAACCACACATGCCACAAAAAAGCTCTAAAAGCACAATTCCACAGCTATTTAGTCTTTCCTTTAAAATACCGCCCTTGAACACACTCTGAGATCCAGTCTTCAACATTGTATGGCATGCAAGAAGAAAGGGCAAAAAACTTAGCAGAAAGTGATGTTTCCTATACTCTACATATGGTTTGAGTTTTTATGCTCTCTTCATATTTTTATGGGTGTAGCAAATAAGCCAACTGATATAGAAGCATCTTGGTGGATAATTCAGTGTTGTCAGATGTTTCTTTTACTTTTCAGTAAAATTGCTATTGCTATCATTGGGATGAGATGAGATGTTTGACTCCTCTTAATTTCTAGCAAGTTTTGTATCAAAACACTTTCAACAATTTTAGCTGTCTTTATCACTCTTTTCACTCCTTTATTTCTACCATATCTTCATGTGCTGATGTTCAACTTTTAATTGTAGTGTTTTGTTGCATCGGCATTTAACATCCCATGTGCTGGTGATTAACTTTATAAGGTGCATTATTATCCAACAGCCCAATTTTCACTAAATTCCTTACCATGTCTAATACTTAGGAAACACAATGTTGATAACTTAAGAGTTTCGATATCTACCATCGAGGAGAACTTCAGTTTGTTAATTTTATGATTTTATGTTTGCATTAGGTCCACAAGATTGTTGATCTTTCAGAGTTTCCTAGTCGGGAGGCGATGTGGTACCTCGAAGTCATGGAAGCATACAAAATGTTCTATGAACCCCTGATTGAAGAATTTTTGTAGCTCATTTCGTCGACTCAACAGGTGATTACTATTGTATTTTTCATGTTTTTTGTTGTAATCCCACAGAAGTTCTTTTTTGCATATTTAAAATCTCCAGTTGAAATTTTCACTCATGTTCTTCTTTTTTGATATCTCGTAAGATCACAATACTGAGTTAGAGAATCAGGACATTATCCTTGTAGGCAACAATTGAGAAAATATATTTGGAGCTAAGGATAGGCTGACTAGGAGAGCTAATCCTATAGCGCCCTTTGGTGATGTCAAAGAGACTTTATCCTATCATAAACATATTTAGTGAACCTATTAGAAAAGGTACTACTTGGCTCCTTAACGTTGAGAACCAAATCTTTGTGTAAGAGTGATGGTAGAATAAGTGATTTTGAAAGAAAAAAAATTAAGTATAATTGATTTTTCAAAATCACCCTCCAAATATACCTTAAAAATCGATTTAAAGTGATTTTAAACTTTTTTAAAATCAAAATTTTAATTTGTCAAATATGATCTAAGGAAATTGATTTTGATGATGGAAAAAGGCCAAAATCACTTCCAAACACATCCTTAGTTGTCAAACATTGAATAGCAGTGAGGACAAGATTCTTCCTTACTATTAAGGAGTCAAGTATTTTTTATTAAAAAATTGTAGTAAAAAGTGCAATTAAACATACATAATAGTCAATTGAACCTTTTCAACATTGCGCTCTCAATTCTATACAGTAATAAGAAGTTTTTTTTGCCTCAACACTTGACAAAATTCTTTCAGGTCAGTTGAACTTTGGGGAAGTTCTTCCTCTACAAAACCATACCCAGTTATCTTGCATATTTGAGGGCAGCCATACTATCTATTCGCAGGAATACTCCCTTTGCTGTCCAAGGCCTCATCTTTTAGCGTAAGTAATTTTTGCACAAATACTTCTAGTCAAGAAGTGATAAATGAATTATTATTTTTTTTTATAAGAAACTTCAAACTTCATTCGAAAGAGGCACAAAGGAGTAAGGGCGGGAGCCGAGAACATCATCCCCTAAAAAGCTAATACATTACAGCTTTTCAATCACGAGAAAGTAAGGCTATATTATAATTACAAAAGAATCTTCTACGAGTAAGGCACCAAGAGGCCGTTGTAATTTGTACATTTTCACAAAAAATATCAAAAGGGAGGGACTTGTTGAAAACTCTTTGGTTCCTTTCCTTCCAAATACTCCATATAAGCGCCCAACTAGCACAACTCCAAAAAAATTTTGCTCTTCCTTTCAAAGAGCCTCCTCGTATGATCTCTAGTAGCCAATCATCTATCAGATGAGGCAAACAACCAGATAAGCCACATTCCATCACAAAAAAGGACCAACCCCTTGTTGCAAAGGTGCAGTGAAGTAAGAGATGGTCAATTGACTCCCCATCCCTAAGACAAAGTGAGCAGCCCGAAGGGGATAATACCCGACTCTGTACTTTCTTCTGTAGCTTATCATGAGTGATACTTCTATTTTCACCTTATTTGGGCAACTAAATTCCAAATCTTAGTTAGAAAATGGGAGACTATAAATTAGATATTCAAATGAAAAATCACTTTAATGTTCAGTTCTACCCTCTTTAAAATATTATTCCAAGTATTTTTTTACTTTTTCTGAAAGCACTTCTCTGACATATTACCCACAGTTGAGATACCTATTTGGAGACTACATTATATTGAAACCTTTAGCCAATAACGAGTACAATTTCAACACACCCGTCATAGCATTGGCCTATTTTCAACTTGTTTGCTCACTTGGATTTCTAATGCACCATCCTGCATTTACGATGTCATTATTGTATTGTGTTTTGAATATTTAATACATTGACCTACTTTCTTTGCCCTTACTAGCTATTTTTTCCTTTAAACATAATATGTCGAGATGAAGATTCGAACTCCTGATTTTTTGGTCGAAGATAGATGTCTTGACAAATAGGGCTATACTCCAGGATTTTGTCTTATTTGGCTCAGCTAAACAATATAACACATTTTCATTGGGATGGGTTCTCCAATGATGGTGTCTGTTGATTAAAATTACTAAATCCACTTTATAATGCTCCAAGTCAATCGATGGTCCATCGAGAATCTCTTTGGGGCCGTTTGGTTCAAGATTTTAAGGGTGGGAACGGGTTTGGGCTTGTAAAGTCCACATTTGGTTGGAGGATTATAATTTATTTAAGAAAGCCCGTGGAAAATGGTGGGTTCCTTGAAAATCCTTCTCTCTCATAAAATCATATTTTTCTCTTTCCTCTGTTCTTAATTTCTTCTCCCTCAAGGTGAATCATTACACTGCTATTTTTTTTATTTCTCTTCCTCTATTCTTGTTTTTGTTCTTGTTATTTTAATTTGAGATGAAATTTATTCTATAATATTATCTTTTCCTTTGTTCTTTTGGTTATTTTTTAACAACATTTTTTTTATACAAGAAAACCACTTAAATTTTTTTCAAATTATTTTAAGTAATTTGCTTTAATAAAAAGTGATTGTCTAACAATAATTAATTATTTAAAATTAGTTAATGTAAATTAATTGTTGAAAGTAGGTTCTGATATCATTCTCACGCACAACAGGTATCTTTCATTTTCATTTTCAGACATCTTATTCTCAAGTAATCTTTTTAAAACCTTGAACCAAACTGCCCCTTTACGTCCACCCATGAACTATTGGGAAAGTAAATATTTTTATTTCTTTTTGAAGTTACAATTTCTTAATATTTATTGTAGTACATATTATCCTTCCCAAAAATGAATAATTTTATCATAGATGTTCATAAAATAAAGCTTATCTATATTATAAAGTTAATAAGAGAAAAAGTTCACCTAGAGCGAAAAGAAATAGTTTAATTAAATCTGTGAAAATCAAACCATCAAACATTACTGGCATTATTAATCTTCACCTTTTTCAGTAATAGGTAACAATATTGCATTAAATGAATTTAAGGCATCTGATAATCGAAAACTTGTCCTCTACCATTTCAATCGGTGATTTTTACACCATGAGCTTCAACAGAACGATAAAAATCGAGAACGGGAGGCGATCTTTGCCTCATACACCAATATATGAGGTTGTCACCATATCATAAATAAGAAAAAATGAATATTCATATGAGAAGTGAGAACCACCACATATCACATATATATATATATATTATATATGTGTATATGGCATACCCTTTACTAGCAGCTCCTCCAAGATGAACGACCTGTGCAAAGTAATGAGATCCAGATCAAAAAAACACTCAAAATACAGAAATATATAATTTGATTAAAAGCTTAAATCCTATTTCCTAAACTATCATACTTATATATTTCAAATATTTTGTTTCTCCCTACGACGTTAATCTATTTGGAAATCTGAGGTCTAACTTACTACAGGAGTTCAAATATAATGTACGTAGGTATCTGTTGATTAGGTAAACGAACAAAAGATGTACGAACTATTTATGTAGAATCTAAATCTATTTGGAAATCTGAGGTTCTAACTTACTACATGAGTTCAAATATAAATTACGTAGGCATCTATTGATTAGGTAAACAAACAAAGGACACACCTACATGAGATTTCATTCAAATAGTTTACTGAAAAATTAGTAGTGAAAAATAAGATGAGTTTTTGTACAAAGTTCACCTGCTAAAACAAAGTTTTAAGGACAAGAATAAAATAACATGAAGTTATGGACAAGAATAAAATTTAATCCTGACAACAGTTTGCAAAATAGATGATTGATTGTAAATTGTACCCGAACCATCTACTAAGTTATAGGATTCTCCGATCTCTGAGATACGAATACATGAGAAAGAATGCCACTACAGCGCCAGCAATTATCCCGGCTGTTGTTAACCAGAAGGCAAACTGCATGCATCATGACAAGTGCATCAAGGTTACAACATCTCGCACAAAATCACAATCAAGACAATTGGCCACGTTCCATCAACTTTTAAATTGTTTATAAAATTGGGTTTTAGAGAATGTACCACATGTTCTTCAAGGTATGATCGTAAGTTCATGCCAAATATTCCTGCAAAATGGAAATGAACTCTTCTGTAATTATAGCATTAGCATCCTCATGAGAATCAATGAATGGAAAGCCTTGATTGTGTAGTTTTCTTTCGGGCGGGGGTGGGGATTTCCGGTTGTTTGATCCTTTTGTTTAATATATTCTGATATTTCTCATCAAAAAAAATAAAAAATAAAAAAGGGTCTCACTTGGGTTGAATTGAAAAAGCTATATGAAAAGGTTAAAAGTTTTTAAAGCTCTCTCTAACTTGCCCCAAAATGCTAAGCTAGAAGGTAAGATTTAGCCCCTGTCGAAAATTTTTGGCTCTGCCCTGGGTATGATAGATGACTTTAAGTTGTTGCTATGGACAACTGCTACTCTGCAATTGTAATTTCCTTCACAGCTCATCCGGCTTTTATCAGTTTTCCTAAGTAAGTTTGGATCATTTGATCTTGCTTTCAGACGCTTATTTTATTCTCAGCATATAGTTCCCTTGATGGAAAGTGAGAATGATTTAGATCTCTTCGACTCAATATTCCTCTCCTATTTTCATCCTATTTTCTCTAGAAGGTGATTTACCTTCAGTTCAAGAAAGATTTCCTGAACGATTATGTATGATATTTTCTTGTGGTTAGGAAGGAGGAAACGTTGGATCACTTGTTCCTGCACTGTCCGTGGGGGATTAACAGCTGGGCCTTTGTCTGTTCAGAGTTCGGGCTCTCCTTCTGACTCCCTAGTAAGATTGACTACCTCTTCCTCAAAAATTTCGGGGGAGGCCTCCTCAAATGCAAAACTTTTGTGTCGTGGAATTGTGCAGTGAGGGCCTTGATATGGAAAGAAATTAACAGTAGGCTTTTTGAAGATAGAAAGTCCGATGTTTTTTTAGCAATGTACAGAATATTGCTTCGTGGTGGATGCCACAAAAAATGCTTTTGTAACCATAGTCTACGCTTGATTTATACTTGATTGTTCGGTGTTAGGAGTTAAAGGATGATATTGTCTAGTTTTTAGGGGAGTGATCTCAACCCTTCCCCCTTAGGTTTTTCTTCCTTTTCATTATATCTATACATATATTGTCTCTTATTAAAAAAAACTCTCTTAAAAGAGCATAGCATACCTGCAATTAAAGCACCCACTGCCACACAAAATGTCCCAACTTGGAGAAGCAGTTCCACTCTGCTAACCTCTAGTCTCCGAGAGCTAATTAAAAATACGAATAAATAATTACATGGCTAAAACATATTTGACAAACTTTAGTTCATTATTTGAAGAATATGAGAGGAAAAGAAAAAGAAGAATCATTCTTTCGAAGTTTTCTTCTGCCCCTACCTGTTACAGGAAGTGGGAATCTGATTGACCACAAAATAGATGAAACCTATTTTTTTTATTGAAAATAAAATAACACGAGGCAGTTGTGATCATTTAGGTAATTGATTTATATGTATTGTCAGGCTTTTGACTTCCATTCCTGACCTTAGTTACTTTCAAGTATATGAGTTCTAAAATGTAACAAACACCAAACTCCCTCTAAAGTCGGGGCAGAAACGGCGAAAAAGGAAAATATAATAAAACCTCAAAGGAAATAAAACAGTATGAACATACATGCAGAAGAAACAATTTAATAAATAAATGTAAGAAAGTAGTTTAGACCTCAAATTAACAGCAATAGAATCTTCCATTTCTTTTGCAGAATCCAGAAGTCTTTCAGCCTGGCCATGACAAGATTCGCATCTGCAGATGCAGACAGAAAAGATTACATCAACTTGAACAATTCGTTTCATAAACTCGTGAATAAAATCAAACATTGGTTGGCCTAGAGTAAGAAATATTGATGGTCATCTAGAGGTTGTAAAATCACAATTGGAACTGTGGCGTAAGATATGCAGAAAGTTTTCATGTATCGGTGCGAGAGCAATTGCAAAACATTCTTTGCAAAGCATTAGATTAGATACTGAGTGAATGATAACTGATCTAAATTAAGGTTTGCAGAGCGCAATAGAGGATGGAACAAAATTTGGTGAGTGCTGTGCAATAGTGGGTGATAGAGGAAGAGGTTGTCAATCGAAGAGAGGAATTCGGTTTTTCTTTTCAGCAAGCGACATGTCAGATCCGGGGCATCCCTTTCACAAAAACTATGGGTAAGATATGCATTCAAAATTACCTCTGAAGACAATTTTTCAACAGCATAAAATATTTCTTTGATTTCCATAACAGAAGAATCACGGATCATGAATAGTTAACATTTATAAAATGGTAGACTAAAACAAATCATTAACATTTTATGGAAAATTTCATGGCTAGTTCATCCAAAGCGTGGAAATATGGCATTATTTAATAGAGGAATTCGGTTTTTCTTTTCAGTGAGTGACATGTCAGATCAGGCATCCCTTTCTCAAAAATCATAAGTAAGATATGTGCTCAAAAATTACCTCTGAAGATAATTTTCCAACAGCATTTCTATTTCTTCCTCCTCTTCTGCAGATGAAAGGTTCAATAAAATATCAGAAAAGGGTTGCACGCTGAAACCAAGGCTGATGAAAATCGTGAACATAATAATTGAAAGTGTAGAACTTACCATCAGCAGTCTGCTTATCCAAAGGAAGAGAGCACTCCACATTATCGTTTCTTTTATTAAGCGTGCAGTTTCTTCCCATAATACAGATACGTCGTATTTCTTGCGGATCCTCCAGAAGATCAAGAAGCATTTGTCTGAGAGCCCCTGCCCTGGAACCCAATTCAACCTTGCGTACAAATTGGGAGTAGAGAGAATCAGATTGAAACTACTCGTTTTCGGATATCATAGCGAGGTATTTTTTTTTTCATAAAAAAACAAAAAACTACTATCGATAATAAATTCCAAAAACTGTACCAAAGTCTGCTTGCTAATACGAAGTTGTTCCAACATATCACCAGTTAATTTGTTGGGCAGCACCTCAAGTAGAGCTTGAACCTGAAGCCAGACACACTTCATAAATCATTTATTTTGTTTTCTTACTATGGAAAGAACTAATAAGGATGAAGATAAGGAGCATCAAGCTCAAGAACTAGAAAAAAGATAAAAGCAATATTAATAAGAGAAGTAGCACGACTGCAGAAATCGTATGGAAAGAACTACAAGTGTACAGCAGTAAAATGGGCAAAACCGAGGGAAAAAAACAAAATTCTTCCCGAACTCCATTGGTATCTTGGAAAAGTTTCTTCATGGACTACCACTTCCGAAGACCGCGGAACAGAATGGCTCGCTCTAGAGCAAAAGCTTGCGAATTTCTCTCCCTTAAAGTCTACGCTCGAGGAAATTACAGCTAATCTTGATACCCAATCCTCCTCCTATGTTGAAATTTGGAAAGGAAAGTACCCTAGAAAAGTCAAGATTTTTTGCTGGGAACTAAGCCACAGAGCCAGAAATACTGAAGACCTCATCCAACGAAGACTCCCAATGCTACCCATATCTCCAAATTGGTGTATTGTTTGCTGCAAAGGAGCTTAGACCCAAGACCATCTCTTTGTCCTCGTGAATTTGCAAGCAAATTCCGGAGGTTAATTGTAGAAGCTTTTTGTTGGCAAACTCGTATGGATGTGGACATCACTAGTCTTTTACAAGCTTTTTCGGGGCCCTTCAAAAAGGATAATATAAGATTGTGCGGTCTCTCTTCATCAGGACATTCATCTGGTGTCTTTGCAGGGCAAGAAATAACATATTGTTCAATGACAAATTTCAGCCTTTCAACAACTTTCTTGATGGTGTTTTGGTTTTGGTTTAAGCTGGTGTAATAATTATTTTACCTCTTTTTCAAGTTAATGGCTCCTTTAATGAGTTGGAAGGTCCTTTTTAGCCTCCTTCCTATGATTCTTCCCCTTCTGTATATTTCATCACATCTTTCTCGTAAAAATTAGAAAATAAAAATGTTGGAGAGCAAAACTTTCACTAAAGCTATCAACCATGATAGGATACGGACTCCATAGACAAAGCTAAAAAGGAATGAAGGAAAATGACCCTAATTTGTCGTAAATTAAAAATATATATATACCCAATACTTTAACATGTCATAGATTTTCCTTTGGCTCCTAAAATTTTTAGAACACAAGATTTTGCCCCCAATTCCACCGCTAATGGACCCTTCCATTTAGTGAAAATAAAAAAGAATCTATTAATCGATGGAGACCAAAAGTTGGTCGAGGGTTATCATCAGGGGGGCCAAAGACCTTTGTAACAACTAGAGTGTTAATTAAACGAAAGAACTCTTCATCATTGAATTAATACCCAGAAATATTGTATTCGAAACATTGATTCTAAGGCCAGATGAAACCACAAAGGGTTTCAACTACTAGATAACCTTGACCTCTTCACCTGGATAGATTTTTTCTTATTAGTTTGTTACTTTTCTGTTTGTATGAGTGTCAGGATCAATTTATGCGCACCTCAACTAATCTCATAAAACTACTGTCTCACCCTACTACAGTTGGTTGCCAAAAAAATTCATAAGATATTAAATCGTAGGTAAGGTAGCCACTATGATTTCAACTCATTCATTTTTTCTTATTAGTTTGTAAGTTACTTTTCAAGTCTAGTCCAAAAAAATTTTCCTTTTCTTTTCATGTTGCAACAACCCTGTATAAGCCGTATCGTTTTTTCATCAAGAAGAGAGAATTTTTCACAAAACAACAACGTGCAAATTATAAACATAGAAACAGACATATAAAGAATTAAGAATTTGCAATTGCAAGCCTAGTCTGACGAAGAACATATAGCAATGAAAACTAAATCTGGCTAAGTTGCACAGGCGGCTGTGACAAGACCATGAAAATTTCTGGGAGATTGCTGAAGTTTCTCTACTCGATCTTTTCCAGAGGAAAAAACAAAATGAAATGGAGAAACAGAAAACAGAGCAATATTTATATATATACTCACTATGTTTCCATACTCACACGAGGTTCTACTTTCATTAATCGCTGCTCCAAACGCTGTGTTCGTGAAAGCAATGCAGCTTCAACGACCTAAAACATAAAGTAAAACAATAAATTTAACAATCTTTGGTAATACAACACAAAAACAAAAAACAGACAAGCAAGATTAATGCAAATTTTGAGAACACGTGCTTAAAATCTCGCATGATAACCATGACCTGTTGAAAACTTGAAATACACCACGGATTCAAGGAACTTCTTCCTTTTTAGTCTTTTTAATTATGAGAAACTTTCATTTGTAACCTATTACCTTTTTTATTGTTTTATTTTTTTGTTAAGTTTTCTCCTGGTCTGTAACGCTTTCCTTTGAAATATATTGTTTTTTCCTTGTACAGATTGCTACATGATATCCCAACAAGAAATAAGAAGCTTTTTGACAAGCTGATTAACTCTCTTGACAGACTTCTTGCCATGCAAGTGGTGACCCAAATTCGCTACGTCAGGTTTCTTGATTGGATAGAACGACTTCGAATCATTTCCTATCCTCCTCGAGAGTCGAGAGTCTGCGGCATCCAAATGGGGGCTTTGATTAGCTTTAAAATGATCTCCTCAAGATTTGCAACAGAGAGGTTTTCGGGAATTCTCTCTGATTAAAAAATTTTAGCCTTTCTCAATTCTAAACATTAATCTGAAAAGAGTGGTATTGGGAGCCAATAGATAATCTGGAAGTACAAAAGTTTAGCCTTCATAGCCGGTTGTAGCATTGAGAAATGGCCCACTAACCTATTTGGGTCTTCCCCTCAACGGTAATCTACACCAATTAGATTAAAGATGCAATGTAAGATTCAGAATTGGTAGGAATCCTTCACTGACTTCCCAAGGCCAGATTCTAATTTCAAAACTTTTATGGTCGGGGTGAAACCCAATCCAGAAGCGCTAACTATAATTATCATATCTACTCAGAAATTTTAATTGGGGTCCGCAGAATGGTATAAGAATGCTGAAACGCAGGTAGTAGTAATTTTTCATTGCTTCTTCTAGGGGTAAGCTTCCTTGGGGTGAGCTTCCTTGGGACTCACTTCTAATTTGGAGTCTTCTTATTGTTAGAATGTATGAAAGTATGCAGTCCGTAAGCTAATTTTGCTTTCATCTGCCAACTCTAATTATATGATGTAATGATGTAAGAATACATATATTTAAAAGTATAACCAACCTCTAGTTCAAATGGCATTGCTGGCACTCCATTCATGTTTTTTGGGTTCAATCGAGGCAACAATGATTCAATGAAAGCTTGTCCTCCTTGACTGAAGATGATCACAATCATGTAAAAAGAATTGCAACGTCGAAATTTTTGTATAAGAAAGCAAATATGGCAATTTTGGAGTTAGATGGATACCGGTTGTAATCAAATATGAGGACGCAATCCGGCATAGCTATTGCTCGCAGTGAACCCAGATTAAGCAAAAGAGCATGTTCACGAACCTGGGATGTGAACCACCAAAGAAAAATATTGGGAGTCTTCACTTCAATTTTTTAATTTCAAATGTTAATGCAAAATGCTAATACTTCAACATAAAAAGCATATAATCTAAGGAACAGCAGAAAATGGTTAGGAAATAAAAAGGTGGAAATCATTATACCACTAATGACGGCATTGAGTTTGTCAAAAATAAAGATGGATCAACACTTCGGACATCACGTGGACGGAGCCCTGATGGTTAAAAATATCCACAAGAGCAAAATAATAAAATTAAAATATAGTTTCTTAACCAAAAAAAAATAGCTAAACATAATATTTGTCATCCTAATTCCTACGGTTATCTACCATGAACGGGTAAAGAACCAGTAAGACAAGCAGCAATTGATATTACAGAAAGAAAATACACAAAAGAAGTCAGTGCAGGCCAAAAGTAACCTTTTTTTTTTTTTTTGAATTCCAGGCTCAGACTAATCAACAGTAAACATCCAGAAAGTCAGAACAGAAATGAGAACCTGAAATTGCTAGGAAATTTATACTCACCACTTGACTTCAATAGCTGGCGTCTGTTAATCTTCCTAGTGGATACGGTTCCATCGGCCTTAACCTCTAATACCTAAGTTGTCGAGAAATATGAGAGAATTGAGAGTAAGAACCTTCCTTTATCCAAGAAAGTAACTCTCAGAGAAATATCTAACAGGAAAAGATTCGGTTGAGGCATGAAGATCAGGATTTAATATGAGAAAACAAAATGATAAGCTGAAATTTGTAAATAATTCTGCCCTTCAAACAGAAGTTTTTGTATCTCAAAGAAGAGTGAATATCAGGAGTTGAACTCTTTAAAATTCATAATGTCGCATCTTTGCTTTGATCGGCTATGATTTATACAGTACAGTTTACACGGCTTATAAGATGTCTAAAATAGAAGTTATCCTCTAACAAATCAAATGTTGGTACACGAGCAGCAACTCTTTATAGTTTTTGCAGGTGGAGGGAATTGAAGACCATTCATATGACAGAATATTAAAGCATAAACTTTAGAAGTTACAGAGATTTAATAATATTCTGCTCTGTTGTTCAGTTGGCTTTTAATAAAGTTTCTGGATTCTTAAAAAAATAAAAGATAAATACATATATTAAAGCTCAACATTAAATATTACTTTCACCATGCGTTACTTTGTTTAGTCATAGTTATCTAGGCCAAATTTTGAAAACTAAAAAAATAAGTTTTCTTGTTTATGAAATTTAGCTAAGAATTCAAATATGTTTGGAACAATTAAGAAATAACACGGGTTTAAAATAAGCCCAGTAATTATCTTTACCAAGTACTACCAGAGACCTATTGGATTACAATTTCGTTTAGTTTACTGATCATTCTTGGTTAGTTCTTCACTGCCTCAAACCAGAATTTGAAATCTCAATCAAATTTCGAAATTCAAATGTCATTTCAGAATGCCAGGATGTCATTCCTCAAAATGCTCTTCAAAATTAACAACAAAATGGCCCTAATTAGCAACTGACGACGAACAGGCATTGAACACTCTACATTCCCCGACTAATCTCCCTCAAGAATCAATAGTTTGGCTGGCATTTGAAGAGGCTCTCTCAACTTAAATAAAAGTGTCAGTTCTAGTTTCATATTTCCTACTCCAATCCAACATCAAAAAAGACAGAAAACAAAAAGTTCACTGCACCATTCAAACAAGCCGCAAACGCTTCCAATTTACGTAAAAGCAAATGCATCTAAGCAACAGACCTCGTATACCGGCTCTCGAATGGCCAGTGACAGATAATCACTTGGCGACGAGGAAGAAATCCTCTGCGCAGAAGCAGCAGCGGCCACAGAGCTCTGATGCTGAACACGAATATCATCGTCGCGATCTCCTCCTTCCTCAACATCGGACGCCAACGCTTCCGAATCGCTCCATCGCTCCTCCTCGGTGGACATCGAGAAACATTTCGTTCTCGAAGGCAAATTGAGGTTCACCACAACCGGAACCAGCGGGATCCTGCACGTCCGCGACGGAACGAGAGAGGAAAGCCATGGAGATCGGAAGAAGCGCGATACAGAGCCGAGGCCGGAGATGAAAAGATGATGAGAAGATGAGGATAATGACTGTGGAGGAAATCGGATGAATTCTAGGGACGGAGAGAGCGCCATTGGAGAGCGATCCGAGCTCTGGTTGGGGACATTAAAGTAGGTTTCGAGCTTGGTTTGTTGGTAGGTACTGGAGCTTCGAAAGAAGAGATATTTATTTTTTATATGGAAACTAATTTTTAATGGATAATGTTGAATAATACTTTAATAAATAAATAAAACTTAAAAGAAAAATCGATCATTTCTTTTTTCTTATTGGCTAACCAGAGGGAGGGGTTACATGTAATGGGATTCGTGTGGTTTCTGATTCTTCGAATCTTAAAAAATAAATAAATCTTGGAATCTTCTATTTAGTTTTTTTTGTATCCAAATCACATTCGTCCTTTTCAAAAAAATAAATAAATCACAATTTCTAAAGCCCATAGGCTCAGCAGTAGTGGGTCTATCATTTTTGTTCGAGGGCTTTGTTTAAAATTTACTAATCAGGTCAATAGTAATCCAGGCATCGATGATAATATGGAAGAGGATGAAGAAGAAGATAAAAATTGGAGGATAAGGCGAAAAAGAAGATAAAAGTTGGAAGAGGATGAGGAAAAATATAAGATTATTTACCGTATTATTCGAGAGGATTGGATTTTGATTGAAATTTTCATTAGTCGTTTAATTTACATTGGCATTAGGGATGTCTATTTTRTCRGTGGAGATGGCACCCCATAGGGACCTGCCTAAATGGGATGGGGAATCCTCGTTTAGATTCCTTGCGGAGATAGGGATGGGGAAAGTTCTTTGCCCGTCATCTAAATGGGGACGGGGAAGGGGAATACATTTTCTGTCCTCGTTCTCTGTTTCTCGTCCAACCTCACTTTTTTTAATATATATATACTAAAAAAAAGTATATTATTCTCTATATATACATGAACAAATTAAATAGATAAATAATCATATTCTTTTCTACCCACCCTAAATATATATGGAGGAGGGGAGTATTAGACATGTAAATAACGTTTTATATATATCATTGAGAATTAAACAAATTAATTAGAAACCTTGGAAAAAATAGTAAATTGAGAAATAAATTTTAAAAATAAAAAAAGAAATTGGGAAATTTCCGGTGGGAACCTAATCGCAGARAATCCCCACCTGGATTTCTTAAAATTTCGTAGAAAATTTTGCAAGGAATGGAGAATTAAATAGAGGCCAGGGAAGGCTAATTGGCATATTGCAACACTCTTGCAGTTTTTACCACATASGTTGTTTTTTGGTTTCGGTTTTATTTTTCTACTTTGGTTTTGGGACATTAGTTTAAGTACCATTGTTATTTAGTAAACTCACAATTTAGGGATGATTAGATTATACTATTTAAACTATGAAATCTTTTTTTTTTCTCCCCTCCCATCAAATTAATAGAAGCGACGAGGTGCTGGCTCAAAATTGAGCAAGTGGGAAAACAAAATCAGGACGACATCCACAATCGTATCACAGACGAGAGTCTCATGCACAAAATTTTTTTTACGAATATGACATTTATGGCCAAATATATCTTTTATTATTAAGTAGTTTTATTTTTCAAATTATTTTCCCTCGTTGCCCTTGATATGTCAGATGATTTCTTTTATTCAATATGATTTTGAAATATGGTAGATTCCTTCCTAGTTAAATCCCAAACTTCCTTTACGATATACTAGACATTGAAATACCTTTTGTTGAGGGTAAAATCGAGTAGGTCACGTGCGTACACTATAGTGGTAAATCGGACAGCTGCAGGTGGAGGCGCACTTGAATTCCATTGATTAATGACTGACTTGTACTAAATAAAAGCTTGAGATGCACTTGAGTTCATAATAAAATTATAAAAATTTAGTCACTGTGAAACTCAATATTCAACATATTAGTATACATACAAAGTCTAGTCTTCCATCTAGATATTAAACCATTCCAACATGTCATAATTAGTGACGTTGTCATTCATAATTACATGTTTGACAATATAATACTCCAAATAAAGCTTAAAATCAAAAAATAAAATGAAATTACACTTTTAAAATACTAATCAGAACCTAGAAACAACTTTATACTATAAATTGCTTCAAACACGACCAAAACCAAAGCATTGGAATGCAACCTACTCAATCTTTATATTAAAGAAACTAATAACAAAATCATAAACGTGTTAAATTAGGGTATAAATTAAGCTAGAAGTGTATACATGTGTACGCGAATATAGTTTTTCAAAACCATAGAACCAAAAAGTACATGTACTCGAAAAATGGTACTATGTGACCTTTAAGATGGTGGATTGTAGGTCCATCCGTCGTATTTTTACTTCCTATTATGTATGACATCCCCACTTTATTTAATAGATAATTAACTAATTCAAAATTGAATTTGAAAGTCCTTTTTGGGTATTTTTATTTGTGTAGATTCTATTTCACTTCAAATCTTTGCTGGAAAGGTATTTTTGAAAATTTCATGGAAAGTAAAAAATTATATTGAAACTTTTGAAATGATCAGGGATCAATTTCTCGACATTTTTATTGAGGAAGAGAATCCAGGATGAACCCTTTTTTCGTTCGCTATGTGCTGACTGGATGCGTACTCGCGTGATCGATGGACGGGGGAATTGCGTGAATGACGAGACCGGCTTAACCTAAAGTCGACGGCTCTCCCCTCTCTTGATGGCCGATTTGGAGAAAGAAGAAGCATGGCATGAGGACGGAAAATTTTCCGATAGCGAATTACTTGACTCGATGGATGGAGGGAGGGTCCCCCAGCTCAAGCACGAAATCAATGTTGAGTCAACAATCATCGAGAGGGGCACCACCAAGCRAGATCGAGACCAGCACCTTGGCCTTAGATAGGGTTCCAAACCTGTCTGCGCTTCTTCAAATATTCCAAAAGGTCGGACTAGGGGGGCACGCTAGCTTACTAAGCCGTGGAGACTTTGACCGAGGCAAAATTTAGAATAATAATTTAGCTAAAAGGATATTTACAAATTTACACATATATCCTCTTTTATTATTAAGTTTTTTTATTTTTTTCAAATTATTTTTCCTCATTGCCCTTGAAATATTAGAGGATTTTTTTTTATTTAATAGGATTCTGAAATATGGTAGATTCCTTCAAAATTTACTACTCTAGTAAATCTCAAACATTTTTCTATTTTTACGTTTAAAATCTATTTTCTTTTTATGAAAAAAAAAAATCTTTTAGACTTTTAAATACCTTAATTTGTTTTGATTTGAAATCCTGATTTCTTTAAAAGCTTCCTAATTTTACCACCACCATTTTTTTACCTGTTTTTCAATTTTTTATTTAGGTTGAAAAAAATAAGATATTCTACATGTCTAATCCTTATTTCTTGTAAAAATTTGGAGCCTAATCACATAATATCCCCTAATTTTGATTTTCTTTTAAATTTGATTTACTACTGTTTAACCACAAATCTTCATGTTTTCACTCTGAATGTCTTTTTCCTTTTTGTAACCATCAACCTACCTGAGTAAATATTTCTATTCTCCTAAAATCATTATAAATATTTAGTCGTTAACTTGAGTATAATTCAACGGTTAACATATCTTATTGATTGTTATTTGTGTGTAAAATAGTAAGAAATTCAAAGTAGGAAAAATGAAGTGATCCAAACTTTGTGTATTTTGCCTTCAGAAATATAACATTTCAAGTAGCGTCTGTAATTGTTTACTAATTAATAAAAGTACTTTAACCATTAGCACCTTATTAAAAAGTGTTCACCTAACCGATCACTCTGATGTTTCATTTTACATTTTTAAAATGTTTTTTTTAAGTGCTTCTAAGTCAAGTACTTGGTCAGGAAACATCCCTCGTGTTTAGGGGTCTTCCTATCTAGTACTAGGCTGAGTCCTATCATGAATGGTCTTCAAGGGAAGACCTTAGCCGTCGTTCTCCATCTTCCACATGATCACAAGGTATTGGTCAACACCTCCAAAAACGTATATTTTTTTCCTCCAACGATGTATAATCTTTTATTTAACCATCATCAACAAACAGCTACACGAATTATCTAAAGCTCTGTAAATCTCAAATTACTTATGTAATGAAGCAAATTTATGAGAAAATTCATAAATTGTCTATATCAAGTCTCAACAATAAAAGTTGTTCAACTGATTAAGGTACGTATTTTCGATAAAGAAAACAAATAATCAAAGTCATATAACTTAATTCAAGGTAGTCCACATTCAACCCCAAGGCTACCTTGTGTAATTTTAGACCATCTAAATTTCTTAAGCCACATTTGTTAATTATTTTGTTAATTATTTTTTATTTTTTATTTTTTAAATTAAGCTTTTATTTGGTTTGCCATCTATTTCTTAAAAACATATTTGAAATCTATGGAATTTCTGTTGAATAATTATTTCGTTTTTAGTTTTCTATTTTTAAAAATTATGCATCATTTCACACTTTTTTTTTTTTATATTTCTCACATTATTTAAATTAAAAACTAAAATTTGTATTTGATCAAAAATTTTAAACTTATTTTCATAAATACGACTTGTAATTGCAACTCGAATCTTACACCTGTTTTATATATATATATATATATATATATATATATATATATATATATATTTATTTATATTTATATAACAATTTAGTTTTCACTTTTATGTTCTAAACGTTATGCTTATTTTTGCACAATTTCACTAGTAAGTTTTTTCACATCGCTTAAAAACATTTAAATTCTTGGTGAAATTTCATACTTTTAAGGTACCATATAGGACCGTCAAGTAATCTCTTGACAAAATGTAGTTCTCCATCTGGATGGGCGTTTCTCTCTGTCTCTGATTGTTCATCACCGTTTCGATAATTGGCAGAAACTTACCATGACCTCAGAAGAAGGTGGTTCTGCCACAACTGTAACGATCATGAGATTTGAGTCCAGTGTTGTTTTTCAAAGTTTGGGAATAAATCTCTTCCTTTCATTGCTCCCTCGAGTTGTGGATCGAACTAGCCGTTGGCTTTTTGATAAATCTCTAATTGTTCTAGAGAAACCAATCTCATCAAACAAGGTCTCAGACTTAGAGTTCAATAAAGTATATTTCTGGATTTACTTGTTCTATGATTTCACAGTATGAACCCTACGGATTTTTGTCAGTTAGGAAGGAAAATAAGGTAATTCTTGAAATTGCAGATTTGGGGAAGAATTTCATAGGGCTTTTGTTTGCTTACAGAATGAATATGCAAGCAAATCTTTTTGGCAAAACATGTCATTTCTTCTTGTCTTTCGATCCTACTATTGTTAATGAATGCCATATCTCAAATGTAACCCTTTGTGGTTTTTAATAAAAAAAAAAAGTACCTTATAGGACAAATGCCCCAATCCATTATTTAAAACACAATATTCAACATTTGTATGTTTCACATGTAACGAGCGACCTAGAAAATAAAAATGAAATTTCCTAGAAAACTCGAACACCACCAAAAGGAGAAAATAGAAAGCAGCAGAATCGATAATTGATAAAAATAAAAATAGAAAACAAAAATGCATATATAAGCTGATCTGTGAACAAAATAATGACAATCTGAAATTTTTGAATTCTCATAAACTAGTTAAATTTGGGGTATTAAAACGTATATTTACATGCACTCCCCTGTACCCAAAAAAACCAAAAGCAGGCCATCCAAAAGCATATTCAACCTGGAGACCAAGATAAAACACCTCACAGAAAGCGACAGCCAAAACATATACCCAACTCTGTCAACCAAAAAGTGCACAGATAAGCACCTGACCACATTCCTACGCCGAAAAACGACGCTCAGCAGTAAAACATCACATCTTTCACATTTTCTTTAATCCTCGGTAATGTTTGGATCTCCACATTCCTACTGCCCGAACTCACAGAACCAGTATCAGATGCATCACCCTCCATGTAATATCGGGCACGGAATGCAGCCAAATGGGCATAGTATGCTGGCGGTACTGCAAAACAAATTAATGTATTTAAGCATAAGCGTTCACGACGATAAACAGTAACTGAAATGGAGTTGAAAAGAGTACCTATGGAAACGGATCGTGTGCACCTTGCGTACCTAAAACAAAACAACAATTAAATTTAGGCATTGTAAAAGAAACAAATCATGAACAAAATTGCATGACAAGGGGATGGGAAATGATTTTGATATTTACGTGTAGCATAGACTATTGGTGAGCATTTGCATTTTATCGGCACTGAAATTATTTTCATCAAATAGAACATGATAATGGGTCGGTCTACTCGTTCCCTACACGAAGAAAAAAACAAGTGAGATTAGAGCTCAAACAGAACAGAAAGAACATGTTAAATGCAAAAACATGTTAAATGGTGAAATGTCGAGACCTGAATGCCAGAATGACTGTTCAAATAGAAATCAAATTCGGTAGGATGGCAAATTTTTGTGTCCACGACAGTACCTACCAAATAAAAACAAAAGAAACTAAATACACCAAGAATCAAGAAACAACTTCGAGGAACCAAAGAATAAAAGAATGATAATAACCTGGAAGAATGTTTCCGCTCCTATCGATATTCTGGTTATTGGTAGGAAAAAGGCGGGTATGATGCCTCTTTTGCACCACTATAAAGGTCACAGGAGGTTGGTAACCTTCCTCAAGAGAAGCACATGCCTAAAAAATATTAACAATTTAATTATTTTATTAAGAAAACGTACATAATGAAGACATTTTACCAATCAACAATCACAAATATACTATACCTTTCTGATTGCATCCATCTCATAAAGCAGAACTTGACTGAACTGCCCTTCACTTACACCGTCCCTGTTAATGAAAAACAAAAATCAGCAAACAGAAATAGAACAGATCAGTCCATATCCATTTATTTTACAAAACACGAAAAATAACCTGTAGAATATTATTCTGTGAGGCCTCATGTTCGTTGATCTTCTGAAAGCTATGAAAAGTTCCCTGCCAACAAAAATAAATAACATATGAGAAACAAACAGTATCATTTCCAGTAGACAACTTGTCTTCAACTTACCGAATCATTCCAGTAGCCACCACTCCTCTCTGAGGGTCTTGAGTCGTTTTATACAAATCCTGGATTATTTCTTCACGGTGAACTTGTGCTGAAACAATGCCTCTGTACTTCGTTACCTCGGGCCAATCCATTGAGGCAACAACCTTTCATCACAAGTGTAAGATTACACAGAAAGGAAAATTCATAATAAAAAATTAAGCAAGGAGAACATACAGCTGCTATTGAAGGACTAGAATCCTCTCCAGGTTGTGGGTGCGTTACATCGGCCCCAAAGATGATTGTAGGTCGATCCGTTACAAGAGGAATATTCTTCTTAATGGCATCATCTAACACATTGTTTCTCCCCCCAACCTATAAAATATTTCACACTTAAAACAATAATTGAATGGCATTGTATAGATAATCAACAGGAAAAGATAACACACGAACCTTAACATTTATCTTAAGAGCCACATTTTCAAAATATTGTTTGTTCAGCTTCTGTGCCTGCCTGGGTCGGCAACATTGTGACACAATTCCAGGCTCAAGATCAGTCTCACAAATTTTTTTAATCTTTCCTGCAATGACCAAGGTACTGAGGATCACACTCAAAAGAAATGTATTAACAAAGATAAAAGTTCGAATAAGGCAAAGATATACTCACCATAGGAACCCGTCACATCCGGTAAAATGATAATGAGCAACTGGAGACACTTGCCCTGTCCCAAAGCTTGCATAGACTGACTATGAATATCTCGGAGTGCATTTTCAATTTGATTTGGATGTGCATGCCGAATTGGAAGCAGCGGCTTAGGGTTGAAAACCTTACAATAGATCCAACATAAATCATGTAAATTATTAAGAATCAACAAGGATTTGTAAGTTATTGAATCAAAAAAGAAAACAGTTTATACCATTCCCTTGCTATTACACATGCCAACCAATTGATGGCAAAATTCAACTGGCAAGCTCGGATCCACCCGAGAAGAGAAGTTCACACATGTCCAATGTTCCACACTACCCCCATTGATCATTTTCTAATATACCACAAGAGAAAAAATCAAAAAAATATATAGGTTAAATCTATATAATTTTCAATTCGTAATTAGTAATAAAATATAAATGTCGATAAGAATTATATCAAGAGGTAAATGCAAAAATACCTTATTGATCATATTCCACTGACCCATCTTAGGGTTAACTTTCGATTCTTTGCCCGTTGAATGGTAATTGAGCTTCAAATATCAAATCTTGACATAAGATTAAAATTGACAAAAAACTACTTCAGTATCTCAAGATAGTTACAGTTGTAAAAATTACCAATGGAGATGGCAAAACTCGAGCATCAACATCGCACAATTGTTGTCTAACTTGAATGCCAAAATCCGTGACAAATTCATCGTTTGTATAATCATTCCTTCTAACCGTCTGCCAAATGGATAAATAATAGTAAAAAAGGCATGACATAAAAGTATATATCAAACTTGCAAAATAATGGCCAAGACATAAATAAAGCTGATACCTCCATTATACTATTTTGCCTATCAGCAGGTCTCTGACACGTTGCTCTTAACATCTCCGTTACTTGTCGTTCATTCAATTTCTTAGTATATCTCTGCCCTTCAACAATTGTACAAACCTACCATAACAATAATAATAATAGTAAGAGAAACCCCATGAAGAAATGACCATGAGAAAACTTAAAAGCAAGAAACATCCATACCTCCATAGGCAAATAAATGGGCTTTGCATTGTTACCCGCTTGTAGCGCGGGAAGAGATGGAAACTTGAGCATAAAACCATATTTTTCACGAAAGTATTGAGCAACAGAAATCTGGGTTTTCTCATCGTCAAGAGTAAACCTAAAAATAAATCAAGTAAAACAATACCTTAAAAGACAGAACAAGTGCTGTGAACAATAATTTTTCATACAACATTGCTAGCTACTATCTGACCTAAATTTCAAGAATTTTCTAGCAGTATGAAACCCAAACTCACATTAATTTATTTATTGGTTCTGATGACATCCCAGTAATTTTGTATGTTCTGGCATGCTCCCTATGTGTTATTGCCACCTTCACACCTTTAAGTACCTTTCTTATCTGACAGTAAAGGAAAACAAACAGATTATTGCAAAACAGTTCTAGATTCTTTTTTCAGAAAGTAAAATGTTCCTATACTAATTATGGTATCAAACCTTTCGACAATCCTGATCAGATAATGGCCTCGAGAAATTCCTTAGATTGAAGTGTATAGAAACAAATTCTGTAACACATACTGGTTCATAGAAGGATCTAGCTGATACATCTGGCATTAAGAGAACAAAATAATGTTAAAGAAAGGAAATAAATCAGTTAGCAGTGGCAGAGTGAATTAGAAGTACTGAGTGATACCTATATTCAGAGATAGACCCATCTGTACAGGACGCAGACTTTGATAATATCCCCTCCAATATTCAACACCATTACCAAGTTCACCCGGACGTCCCAAGGTCGGATGGAAAAATGACCTTCCAACTACGGTATACCTGGAAAAAAATGATGAAATTACTATCCTCTCAATCCATATAATAATTACCATAATAAGACAAGTTTCAAATTAGACATACTTGTTTGACGGTGTTTCTCTCAAAACAACATCAAGAACTTGGATAGTTTCCTGTGGGATATCTCGCTGTCGTCCTAGTAAAAATTGTTGCAGATGATGGAGATCTGGCTTGGAAGCGAATTTAATCGAAACGTTAAACTCGCGCTCTTTCCTATAGAGTACATGACAAACAAAAATCTTAAGATTGATTATTTAAATATAAACAAAAAGAGAGAGAGTATACCTTGTTGGTTCATCCTTACGAACTAGTTTTATCTTAAATTCTTTGGATAAAAATGGAAGTTCCCCAGCCACATAAACACTTTTCCCACCATCATATGCTAAAATTCTTCCACCTAGATGGGATTGTCTATACAATTCAACCAGCTGGGTTATTATATCTCGGCAGACCTTTTTTGAGGAAACCTCTGGTGTTATTGAAATCTGAAACGAATTAAAATTATACATTGTAATCTCTAGCCACTAAACTGCTAAGTAAACACCAAAATAGTAAATGTGCATGGTTTTTTTGGTACAACATATGTGGGGGTAGGGGATCAAACTCACAATCTCTTGGTTGAAGATATATGTCCAATTACTGCCGAGCTATGCTCGCTTTGGCAGTTGATGTACATAGTTTTAAAGATGATATTCCAGAACTTCAAATGCAATCATACATAACACAGGTCGTTGGAATGCAATGATACATAACACAGACTGTCCAAGCACAATCACACATAACACAGATTGTTCAAGCACACTCATACATAAAACAGATTGTTCAAGGGCGATCATACATAACACAGATTGATAAACGGCGATCATACATATCACAGATTTTCAATACATTGTTCGAATATGATCATCTCATAACACAGATTGCTTCGAATGCAATCATACAAAACACAGATTAACACAGATTGTTCCAATGCGATCATACATAACACAGATTTGACAGGTGAATCCAAAAACAATATCAAATAGCAAATATATAGCAACACACGAAAAAAGATTTCAGAAAAGTTGACTAAAATTCCTGAATAAAATGACAGACAGACAACTCTACGATAATAGGATATCAACATTTTGAAGTATCATATAAATGAGAAGTCAAGTGGAACTAATCGGCACCACGGTGAAGAAAGGGAAAAATACTCTGCGAAGAAGAAACACTTACATCGTAATGATAGAGATCGATATCAGCAACTTGAACCAGGAAATGATTCGCACGAACAACCATTTTCTGGCCCACGGTTCCGTAACCCGGCCTCTTAGCAACAGGCAGAGCCTTAGATGAAACCGGCGGAACTTTCAATTCCGGAGTCGTCAGTGTCAACTTCTCCACTGCCGTCTCGATTCTCGCAGAAGAAGCCTCCGGAGCCGTTCGAGAAGAAGACGCCACCGTTGAAATTTCAGGAGGAGGAGGAGGAGGGGAAGTAATCGGAGTTGGCTGCGGCGTCGGAGAATCAA